AGCAGAGGTGCTCCGGCCCTTGGAGCGTCTCCACTGCCTCCTCTGGACCCGCTCCAGCAGCTCCACATTCTTACGCTGGGTCAGACGCRGGGACAGGGACGGGGCGGCGCTGCTGGAGCTCGGCCCCGCTCCCGGTCTGCTCCGGCGGAGCAACAGCCTCCTCTGCCGGCTGCCATGCGGGATCGGCGCCGGGACCGGGACCGGGACCGGAGCGGCCCCCGAACCGCCAGAGACACCGGCACCGGCTGGGAGGGACTGCGGGAGGGATGGGGGTGCCCAGACGAGGGGGTCCATTCCCCACAGCCCCGTGGAGGGCACACCAGGCTCACACTGCCATGTGCCCGATGGCACGGGCCATCGCTGATGCCGCTCCTCGCCGTGACRCGCATCGGGCACGCAGCAGCCAGGRGAGGAAGAGTGCATGGCCCCCGCAGTGCCCAGGGCCACCAGCACCAGTCACAGGGCCACGGCTGCTCGGGAGAGGCAGGCGACCCGCACATCGCACCACAGCACCACGGCACACACCACATCGGGGCAAAGGTGTCACCCAGAGGGACCCCATGCATGTGAACAGGCTGCTCTCAAAGCCCCGGTTCCAGCTCGTTTTCTTTTGCTTCAGACCCAGAGTTCTGGCAGCAAAAAATGCATTCGGCTGCTTGGAACAGGGATGACGCACACAGAGGAATTTCCAAGTGGGAAAGTACGATCGTTGAGCTGTAAAACCCTRGATGAGGCCACAGAGGTCACGTTGGCCTCAACACAGATGCCTGTGTCCAGGCAGGCTGGCCTTGTCACTACTTACCCCGCAGGGAGTGCCCTTGGTGTCCCCCCACACACCGGGACCCTGCTGTGACCATTCTCCAGCTCCAGCTCCAGCACAGGACAAATGTTCTCCACCAGCCCCTCAAAAAACCTGGTCCTGCCCCGCTCAATCCCCAGCAGCCCTGGCTGTCCCCTGTGCCTTCCTGCAGCCCTGCCAGTCCCCTGCTGTGGCCCCCGAGCCAGTCTGCCTCTGCCCAACCTCCCAGCAGAACCTGCAGGTGCCCTTTGCCATTCAGTGGGGCACAGAGAGCTGTGCCAGCATGGCCACGGTTCAGCAATGGGAGGAGCCACAGAACAGCCCCCGGCAAGGCTGCAGTCCCCTGACCCCATCTGCAGTGACCCCATCTGCATGGCATGGGATGCAGGAAGCAGAGGTCCTGCTTGGCAGGGTCTCAGACACAGCAGTGGGGTCCCCAAGAGCAGGGAGCACACCTCACCCTTGGCRTGGTCACCCTTCACACGCTCACTTGGGCTCCCTGTGACCTCCCCATACCTCTGAGTTGGGCATCTCAGAGCCACCTCTCCCCAGTCTGGGAGCATGGTGAGGTGAAAGGCAGCCCTAGTGCTGACCCCGCCAAGCACCCGTCTGCTGGGACGTGTCGGCACCGAGCCACCAGCCTGTCCCCACGGAGGAATGGTGCTCAGCAACGGGTGCACCCAGCTTTATGTCTCATGGAGGCTTCCCACGCTCTGCTCCMCCTGAGGCCATGCTCACTGCTCACCCACGGGGACCCAGCCAGCTGTCCCCTGAGGCTCCACGGGCAGACGTGGCAGGATGCAGGCACCGTGCCAGGGCTGGGGCAGGCAGGTGCTGGATCTCTGGGATGGGCACAGCCCAGCAGAGCCAAAGCTGCTCTGTCCCAAAACCCCCATGATACACTGCCAGGACAGCAGCTCCCAGGGGAACATCCTCCTGAGCTGTCCCCTCTGGGTTCCTCTCCCACAAACTCACCCAATCACTTGTCACAGTTGGCCAGTTCTGGGCTCCCCATGGCTGTGGGGTGACCCCAGCCCATGGCCTCATCTCCCTTTCCCCATGAGGGTGCTGGGGGTCCTTCCCCCTGCTGCAGCCTGGTTGCCAGGGCTGGACAAGGCCAGGTAAATCATTTCTCAGGCCGTCACTGCCTCAGGCACAACTGTGACACGCAGCAGCASTGAGTGTTTTGGCACACGAAGGTTGTGTGCGCGGCCCCTCCCCGGCTCCATGCCGATATAAACCCCGCCGACCCGTGCTGCCCATCCATACCTGTGGCATTCACCAACATGAAGACCACCATCATTGTGCTCCTGGGCATCCTGGCCCTGTGTGCCCAACTGCAGGCAGCCCCTGCGCTTGAGAGCAAAGGTGAGTGCTGGGGCTTGGGGTGGATGCTTTCTGCTAGCCTTGGAGCACWGTGGGGCTGTTTGGGGCTGGGGTCCCACGTGGAACGAGCAGGTAGGAGCAATCCCACAGCAGAGGCAGGCACATCCCAGGCTCTGGAGCATCCATGCAGTGCTGAGGCTACGGCCATGCCAGGCAGGTCTGTGCCACAGGGGCTGTGTGGGCAGTGGGGCTCTGCAGTGGCAGGATGTAGCAGTGTGGCAGCAGCCTTTGGCAGGTGCACAGCTGGACTGAGGGGCCACATTCTCCATGCACCAGTCCATGCCCATGGTGTGGGGACCCTGTGCTGCTGATTGAGGGGCCCAGCGTCTCCAGAGGATGGGCTGYCCCTCTGTATCCCTGCACTTGCTGTCCTTGCTCTGTGCCAGCAGTGGGAGGCCGGCTCACTGCTCGGGGGCACCAATGTGCCCCTTTTAATCATTGACCACGTTCCCTCAGCAGTCACGAGACGTGACTCCAGCRCCTTTCCTGCTGCCATGGAGGAGCCACGGGCACCCGCGAGGCTTGGGCGCAGCCACCGTGACCAGGCTCAGTGGTGGGCACAGCCCCCGAGGGATGCAGCAGAGAAGAGCCCATGGCATCGGGCTGGGGCTGCTGCTCCCGTGTGCTCAGCCAGGATCCTCCCTGGCCATGGGGACAGCTGGCAGACCCCTGTACTCTCCACAGCCATCCTCAGCCTCTGCTGAGGAAGCAGCTGGCAGAGCCAGGGTGGGGACACCAATATCCTGAATGCCATAGACTGGTGACAGGAGCCAAAGCATTCCTGTCTCCCAGAAGGCGATGCCAACTGCGTGGGCTGGAGCTGCTGGCCCTGCTGCCAGCTCGCTCAGTCCCTCTCCAGGTGTCCCAGCTGGCTGGGGGCAGCTTCAGCTGGATTGTCCCCTCAGCAGCCAGCTGGGCACCTTGGAGCTGAGGCACAGCCGTGGGCAAACCYGCTGGCATCCACACTGCTCCCCCCAGCTCTCAGCTTCCCCTGTGGTTTCCCCCTCATCTCCTTCCATGCGCCTTCCATTTCTGGGCTCCCTTCTGAGCTTCCATCCAGCTGCTCTTGTGCATCCTGGCTGCTGGCATCCGCCCTCACAGCCTCCCAGTGCTGGCTGCTTACTGCCAGCACCAAGGTCACCCCACGCTGGGGTCACCCCACGCCGGGGCAGAGCTGTCACGGGGTCAGACCAATGACTGTCACGGGGTCAGACCAATGACATTCAAAGACAGCAGCAGCACAGGGCCACAGCCCAGCCACAGTGGGACCGAGTGACCCTGGATGGGCAGTGTGGGACTGGCAGCAGTGCTGCTGCTCTAGAGAAGCTGAGATAGTGTGGGGTTATCTGGGTTCAGGTGGGTTCTGTCCCTGCGCAGCACAGGCAGGGATGGTGCARGTCGCTCCTCTCCATCCTGGTGGGCAGTGTGCTCACCTCCCCATCCCACACTGGCTGACACAGCACTGTGCTCTGGCCCTGGCGCAGGGGCCACTGGGCTGCAGCATGGTTGTTTTCATTCCKGGCATCCCGATGCTGGCCCTGGGTTAAATCCCAGTCCAGCCCAGCAGGGCCCACTGTGGGAGCATGCCAGCCATCCTGGAGGGCACAGGGACAAGGGCTGCCTTGGTGATCTCCCTGGCACCCCAGGCCTCTGCCAATCCCCACGGGTCCCTCCCACTGCCGACAGCGGTGTGATGAGGTGCGGCGGTGGGGCAGGCGGCTGAGCTGTCCGTCTGCACCAGCTCCTGTTCCTGCATAAACACCCGGCAGGGAGGGAACCACCGGCTAAGGCAAACAGTTACTGATTTACTGCCACGCCGCCGTGCCACATTGTTGACTGTGGGGTTAAATTACCTGGAGACGGACCCCGGCAGAGCAGACGGCAGCTCGTGACTCAGACAGGGATCGTGTCCCGGCCCCATGCACCCTTGGCCCATGCAAGTTTGCAGGATGCTCCAGCCCAGAGCTGGGGCTGCCTCTGCCAGCAGCAAGGGCACATCAACGGGAACAGGGCAGGCTTCATCCTCCTKCARGCTGTGGAGGASATGGGTGCTGGCAGAGTGACAAACGCTCATTTGAGCAGGGCAGATGTGCCAAGTGGGTGAGCTGGGCCCACTCAAACCATCCCCGGTTWGACATTGCCTGGGGCAGTGAAGTGTCCTGACCCACCAGACGTGCCATCAGAAGGGTATCCCGGACAGGACAAAGGGATTGGGGTCATACAGCCCTTGGAGCACCGGGAGAGCACATCAGTGCCTCACTCCCTGATAGCCACTTCCCCAAATGGTGCTGCCGGTTGGTCCACCCGCATCCCCAGTGCTGTGAGGATGGCTGGGTCCATGGGACAGGGCTGCGGCCAGGCAGGAGCTCCCGTGGCTGCGGGGAGGTGCAGGGCAGCCCTGGCACAGGCGCCTGCCCAAGGCACAGGCAGCCTGGAGGACCCTTCAGTCGAGGAGCGAGAGCTGGAGAGCAGTGGCTGCAACAGGAGCAGGAGCTGGGTGAGCAGCAGCGGAGCTGAGCCACAGCCCTGTCTGCACTGCTGCTTCCTCCCAGCCCCGGGGCATCAGCCCCATGCCAGGGGCTCCGTTCACTCCATTCAGGCTCATGACCGTGGCCGGGGCAGCGCAGGGTGAGTCTGAGCAGGGACGGGTCATGCCCTGTCCCCGGCGCTCCCTGCGAGCGGCACCACTCCATCCCCACGGCCGCTCCCCACGCAGGACCACGGCGACCCAGCGCCCCGGCGGGCTCAGTGKGGGGCTACCGGGGGTCCGGCGTGCGGGGGCCGTGGCCGGGGGTGCTTGGCTGCTGTTCCTGCCGGGCGAGTTCTCAGCATGGCCGCCCAGTCTCCTCGAGGCTCCCCCTCCCTGGTCGGCAGCCAGCAGCGGCAGATACCTGATACTCGGGTTGTGCAAGCGCGAAGGGGGAGCCTGGCCCTGCCCGGCCCTTGGGAGCCACCCGGAAGGCCGAGCCCGCCGGCCCCACCTGGAGAGGAGCTTAAAGGCCGGCCGGGCGGCCASAGCGCAGCCGGTTCCTGCACCATGCCCACGGCCCGCAGCGTCCTCATCTTGGCGGGGCTCCTGGCTCTCTGGGCAGAGCTGCCGGCAGCATCCGCCCAGAATGACACCAGTGAGTATGAGCGCATGGCCCGGCACGGCTCGTCACGGCACGCCCGGCGAGCGGCCAGCATCCCTCCCTCCCCTCCCAGCCCCGGGGCAACCGGCGCGGGGGCCGGGGCGAGCGCCAGCCTGTGCCCGGCGCGGTTGGGCTCGGCAGCATCCCTGGAGCCAGCCCCGGGGCCGGGGCAGCATCTCCCAGAAATGGACGCAGCGCTCGCCCTGCCCTGCCCTGCCCGGCGCCGGCCGCCCCTGCCCACGCCCCCACCTTTGCCTTGCAGCAAAAGCCGGCGTGTGCCCGGAGCCGGCGATGGACTCGGTCAACTGCACGGTGGGGTGCCAGTCCGATGGCGACTGCGAGAGCACCCTCAAGTGCTGCCCGGCAGCCTGCGGCAAGGCCTGCCAGAAGCCTGACGGTAACACTCCCTCCTGCTCCTGGCCGTGCTGCCCAGAGTCCGTGCCATTGCCATGAGCCAGCAGCCCATCCCAGCCAGCAGCACTGGTGCTCCAGGGTGCAGTRGTGGCCACTGGCCTGGGTGCCCGATGTGTGTCCGGCTGCAGCACAGGGATTGGGGGCTGCATGGGAGCAGGGGTGTGCTCCTACTGGGTCATGATCCTGCTTTCGTCTTCTTAACGATGCAGTGGCTGAGTGGACATCCCCAAATGATGCTGGGGATTGACTGGAGGGTGGGATGCTCCCCTCTGCAGCTCTTGTTGCCTGCTGAGCCCCGTGGGCAGCTGCCAGCCCAGGATGTGGGCGCTGTTCTGTTGTCACTCACCACAATGATCCTTCTGAAGAGCAACCCAAGGAGATGGGTGCAGGAGCTGGAATCTGCAGCTGCAGAACTTGGATGTGACCTGGAGGTCTGGTGCCTCCGTGGCTGCCTGCGGGCCAGCGCTGGTTTGGCTGCACCACGGTGGAGGGCAGCACGGTGCAAAGCCAGAGCTCAGTGCCAGTGGCAGGCAGTGGCACAGAGGGGCAGGGGCCCCACCCTGCCAGGCAAAGGTTGTCTGGGGGGCACATGGTCAGGGCTGAGGCCTAGGCTGAGCCCCCATGCCATGAACAGACAGCCATGGCAATTGTGGAGGGCAGCAGGGCCAAGGCCTCCATCATGTCTGCATGTCACAACTGTGCGTCCTGTGCCAGCCATGTGTCCCTGGGCAGGAACAGTGGGCATAGGGACCACTGGGGACCGTGGCATCTGGGGTGACCATGACCACTGGGGATGCCGTGTGTCCCCATCAGGTCCAGCTGGCAAGGAGCACTGACAGGCAGAGCTATGGGATGGGGAAATGCTGAGTCCCATGGTGGTCCCTCCTCCATGGCAGGTAGGGGCCAGGGCTGTGCCCGCAGCTTTGGGAGCTGCAGGGTGGGCCCTGCCCCGCATGCCAGGGCCAGCAGGTCTCAGTCATGCTCCTTTGCCTTTCAGAGAAGCCTGGCATTTGCCCACCCGTCAACCCAGGCATCCCCATGCTGGGCATCTGCTCCAACCAGTGCAAGACTGATGCCAACTGCTCTGGGATCCAGAAGTGTTGCAGGAATGGCTGCGGCAAGGTYTCCTGTGTGACGCCCATCCACTGAGGTCAGTTGGGTGCACTCCAACCCCAGGGATCCTGCAGCACCACAGCATGGCATCCATGCACCCGTCCCACTCACATCCTCTGCTCCTTTGCAGGTGCAGCCACCTCCTGCCAGCCCAGCCACAGGGAAGCTGCTGCCTGATGCCCATCCCAATGTCCCGGCCCTGGCCCTGCACCATCCCCCCGGCTTGGAGCCTTCAGCCTCAGTTTCCTCCCTGGGGTTCCCCACTCGGGGCAAGCCCCCCACACTCTCACCAATAAAGCAGCTTCTCCCTGTCACGTTGTGGCTACCTCTCCATCTTGCACCATGGCCACCTCTCCAATCTATGCCATGGCCACCTTTCCATTGTATGCCATGGCCACCTCTCCATCCCGCACCGTGGCCACCTCTCCAATCTATGCCATGGCCACCTCTCCAATCTATGCCCATGGCCACCTCTCCATCACGCACCATGGCCACCTTTCCAATCTATGCCATGGCCACCTTTCCATTGTATGTCATGGCCACTTCTCCAATCTATACCATGGCCACCTCTTCAATCTGCACTATGGCTACCTCTCCATCCCGCACCATGGCCACCTCTCCATCCCATGCCAGGGATGCCTGGAAGAGCTCCACACAAGCAGCAGCACTGTCTGACTCTGTCATGCCTCCAAGGGTCCCCAGCCTGCACCCTGCCTGGAATGCCCATGGGATCACTGTCCCACACTGGCTCCTCCACCTTGGCTCCTCCACCATGCTCAGAGCAGAGCTCTCAAGGTGCAGCTGTGTCCGTGTCCCATCAGAGCAGAGGTGCTCTCTGCTCCCTGCCCTGCAGTGGTCAGGGGACAAACAGGCTGCAGAGTGTGCCCGTACACGAGCATCACCCAAACTGCTCCTTTCCTTCACCCTCCCAGCCTGGCCGTGGCACCTTGCCCACAGCAGAAGCCTGAAGGAGCCTTGGGCAGTGCAGCCCACATGCCCCAGTCCCATGCCTGTCCCTGCCACATCCCTCCCTGCCTGCTCACAGCTGAGCTCCCGCTCCTGTCCTCTCCTGGCACTTCCTGCTCTCCACAGGTCTCCAGGGGCCCTGTTCCTTCCATACCTGCCTGCTCCTGTTCCCATCCCCTGGGATCAGAGCATGTCCATCCTGCCAGAGAGGAGCTGGCACCCTCAGAGCTCCCACCCTTTACAGGGGATGGAGCAGAACCATCCCCTGGGACTGAGTGAGCCCCACATCCTGCCCAGTGGCTGGTGCTGGTTCCCCCTCTCTCTGCACTGCAGGTGCAGGCTGTGCACCCTGGCAGAGCTCCACAGCTCCCCAGCAGCTCTCCCTGCTCCACATGTGCTAGGAGAGACCCAGGGGTGCTGAATACTGGGACAGGACACCGCTCCTGTGTCCCCTCCCTGCTCACAATGGTGGGGCTCTGGGAGTGCCCTCGCCCCAGCTGCTCACAGGTCACCAGTGACCTAGAAACGGAACTGTGGAGGATGCGTCAGCCACGGGCCACGGGCCCAGCACTGCCCCGGGAGTCTCCCCCGAGCTGAATTGTTCGTGCCCAGCACTCCCACAGTCCCGAAACTGTGCTGCCATGAGAAGGAGCAGCTTGGCTRGGCCAGCCCCCATCAGCAGGGTTTAAATGCCAGCCCATCACCCAGAAGCACAATATTGATCACAGCATGATGCTGGGCCACTGGACCCTTCTTCTGGTGCTGCTGGCACTGCCCACCCTGGCCCAGCAGCCCAGGGACCRGGGCACTGCCCAGACCCTCACTGCACCCCCAGGCCGGGCCCTGCAGGGACACTGGGCCCCCGCTGTCCTGCCTGTCCCCCCCAAAGCTGGTGAGTGCCCRGCAGGGGCGAGCGGAGCCGCTTGGCCCCCCAGACTGTACTGCCTCTCTGACCATGGCTGCCCTGGAGCTGAGAAGTGCTGCCAGCTCGGGAAGGTCAGGACCTGCCTCCTGCCCACCACAGGTACCGCTGCTCGCGCCGAGGGATGCCAGGGCAGGGATCGGGCAATGGGTGGATGTGGGCTGCTGCCTGTGCTGGTGCCCCTGGAGCAAGCCCTGCTCCCTGGGACACKGCTGCATGGAACATCTCCTCTGCAGAGAGCCCAGGATACTGCCCCCGTGCTGGCAGTGCCATCGGGCCACACTGTGGGATGAGATGTCACAATGACACCGCATGCCGCTCTGGGGAGAAGTGCTGCCCCCGCGGCTGCTGCACCCGCTGCSTGCTTGCTGAGCCAGGTGAGGTGTCCTGGGGATCCCCACCCCGGGCCGAGGATGGGGTCCACAGYCCCCATTGCGCTGTAGGGGAGCCATGGGCAGGGCCAGGCTGGCTGCATGCTGAGCCCTGAGCCTTCCCTCCAGCCAAGCCCGGGTTCTGCCCACGGAAGCGTGCCCACGGGAGCGCTGCTGCCTGCCCCAACCGCTGCACCGATGACCGGGACTGCCCTGGGGAACACAAGTGCTGCTTCTCTGGCTGTGGGCTGGCCTGCACCCCTCCGGACACAGGTACAGCCCTGCCAGCCCTCCCCCATCCCCTTTCAGCCCACCACTGCGTCAGTGCTAGCCCAGCTCCCCGAGGCAGAGCCCAGCGTGTGCCCGGCCGTGCTGCTGGACAAGCCACAGCAGCTGTGCCCGGCCAAGTGTGCAGCTGGTGGCATCCATCCAGGCCCCGGGAGTGTGTGCTGCTGGCTGCCACACGCCTGCCCTGGGCACAGCCCAGCCCTCATGAGCCCCTTGCCAAGACCTGGCCCTCAGGCTGCTGTGGGAAGGGATCCCYGTGCCCAGCTCCTCTGGAATGGGTGGGAGATGGCCCCGAGTGGGTGAAAGGCTGAATCCCCWCCTGAACCCCCTCCTGCATCCCCGTCAGACTATGTGCTGCTGCTACCAGAGCATGGGCTGTCCCTTGCCACTCCAGCTGCCAGCTGGCGTGCCATATTGAGCTGTGACTGGTCTCACTGGGTCAGACTGGTGTGGGTGTGAGGCTGCTGGCTGAGGCCATCGTGGTGCTCTGGGAAGGAAGATGGAAGCGCAGGACAGGGACAGGGTGGGGACAGAGTCCCGGCACAGCCACACTCCTCACTGTCACCAGAGAGCCACCGTGCCATGGCGAAGCCCGGCATGTGCCCCGTGGTGCTGCGGGGCTCCTTGGGGCCCTGCTTGGAGCTGTGTGACACCGACCRTGACTGCCTTGGACACGACAAGTGCTGCACCACCGGCTGTGGCCACATCTGCAAAGYACCCAGCAACGGTAAACCATCGACACCCTGTGGGACCATGACCCTGTCCCCYTCCCTACCCTGTCCCCGTGACCCTCCCGCGGGCAGTAGGAAGCTGGGACTGAGCTGCTGTCCAATGGGGCAGGAACTGGGTGAGGACAGGGCAGGTTCCCCACCCTGGAGGGGTGCCCTGAACCCCTCACCCCTTCCTCTCTCTGCATGTGTCAGCGGGGCCAGGTCTCTGTCCTCCTGAAGCAGAGGGTGGTCAGGCAGCCGAGTGCCTCCTCCTGTGTCTGTGGGACAAGGATTGTTCCCTTGGCCACAAGTTGGGTCTGCATCCCCCCCTGTGGGGTATGGCCCCCCCCACAGCCTGCTGGTCCAGCCTGGAGGGGATTGAGGAGGGCCCCATGTGGGAGCACCACAGGGCCCCCCATCCCTCACAGGGGGAGCACCCACCCTCACTGACCACCTCACCTGCCTCTTCCAGGCACAGCCTAGCCCTGGCCAGGAAGGGCTGCACCAGGAGCTGCCATTTCGGGGTCATCCCTCACCCCACTGCCATCGCACCTGTGGGGTGAGCAGAGGTGCTGCTGCCCCCACACCTCTCCCTGCGCTGGCCCCTCTGCACTGGCAGGATGGCACCAGCATTTCCTCAGCTGCTTCTGCTCAGGGTCCCTGGCAGCCCCAGCCATGCCCTTAAGGGCTGCACACTGCCTGCATGACCCCATGGCTGAGATTCCTGACAGCCCTGCATGAGGCAAACCCTGCATCCACAATGGCCCCAGCTGCCCCACAGCACTGAGACACAATAAACCATCCCACAGCCACGTCTGCTCTGGATCACCATCCCTGTTCTGTGCTCCGGTTCCCAGAGGCGCTGGCAGCTCGGGCTGCGTGCAGGCAGGGAGGTGCAGGCAGCCGTCCCTGCACGCAGGCGCTGCCCCAGGGCAGGGAGAGGGCCCCAGCTCCATGCAGGTGATGCAGCCATCATCATCGTTCCTTGGTAACCATCCTGCTGGGCCTGGGGGCTGCATGATGTCCCCTCAGCAGCCATGGACTGGAGAACCAGTTCCCTCGGATTCCTTGTGCCAAGGAAGGGCTCATTTGCATCCCAGAGTGTGAAAACCTGGTGGGAAAAGCAGTCATGAGTCAGGACAGATGGGGCACCTGGACAAGGAAGGGGGCAGGGAGGATCACCCACGTGCCAGGGGCCACGGCAGGACCTGCTTACTCATGTTCTGGGTCCCAAGMAGACGTGCATGAAGCTACAGCTGAGGGGCAGCACCACGGCAGCAGAGCTCTCAGAACCCCTCAGACTGCTCCCACTACCGTGCCAGGACCAAGCCATGGGGTCTGTCCGCAGCCCCCACTCCAGGGAGTAGAGGGGCGAGTGGGGCTGGAAGGAAACCTGGAGAGGGAGTGGCAGCGAGCTGCGGCAGGGATGGGGCGGTGCCACATGGGGGACAGCAGTGCCTGACCGCAGCTGGCCTCCCTGACCCCGCAGGGCGCCCTGACCCCAAAGCGGGGCTTGGGCAGAGATAAGCGGGGTGGCTGGCGGGGCGCCGGCGGGTTCTGGGAACTGCCCCTCCTCCTGCCCCTCCTGCCCACAGCACAACCAGCCACCACAGCAGGCAGCCCGGCTYCAGCTGCCCTGGCACTTCAGGCACCCCTGCCACAGACAGTTAAACCAAGCCCCAGCTCAGCTCGAGACACGCACAACATCCCCAGCGGCACCATGAGCCTAGGAGCTTTCCTCCTCCTGGGCCTCCTCATCCTCGGGGCAGAGCCAAGAGTAACGCCAGAGAAGGGTGGTGAGTACCAGGAGTCAAACCCAGCACAGGCAGCCTGGGAGCAGCTCCTTTCTCCCCAGCCCCCGGGTCCCTGCTGTGTCCCCTCTGCCCCTGCTCAGCATGGGCTGACAGGGACTATGTCCCATCTGGCTGCAGCACAGCCCTGCTGCCCGGGGGATCCTGCTGCCACCCCAGGCTGCAGGGAATGTGTGCATGCCCTCACCCCCCTGGGCACCCCCTGCACCCCACGGGCACACACCRTCAGCTGCCAGGGGTACCACAGCAGCAGGGGCTGTGCTGCATCCCGGGCACAGGTGCCAGCCCCCGCTACAGGACCATGCCTGGGGCGGTGGTGCCCAGCTGCAGCGTGGCTCTGCCCACACCGAGACTACAGCCGGTGCCTCTTTGTTTAAAGCAAGCAGCTGCTGTTTGCAGTGAAACTCCGGCAGCGTCTGTTTGCAGCCCAAACACACGGCCGCGCCGCAGCCGGACGGGCTGTTGGCAAAAGCTGCTCCCGCCGCAGCCCCGGCTGGCAGCAGGAGCCGGGCACAGGCGCCAGCTGGAGCTCKCCTGTACCAGAGGCAGGGCTGTCCCAGTTTTCCCAGCATGGCCAGGAGGAGCACAGGGTGCCAGGAGGAGGAGGAGGAGGAGAAGGAAGAGGAGAGSACCGCAGCAGTAAGGAGTGTGCSGCTTGCAGTGAGGATGCCTGCGGCAACAGGAAGCTCAGGAATAAATCCTGGCCTCCAGCTAGTGCTGGCATCACCCTGACAGGGCCAGTGACATTCCTCGGGGCACTTGGTGCTTTGCAAGGGCACACGTGGGCCTGTGCCATGCCACACCGTGCCGTGCCATGCTGCGCTGTGCCACACAATGCTCAGCTGTGCAGGTCTTGGTGTGGGGTCCAGCAGCCCCGGGCCATGGTGCAAAGGAGTCTCCAGCCTCCCGGGCTGCAGTGCCTGCTCCWTTTCCCTGGCCCCTGCAGAGAGACCCACATCCTGCTCCCCCAGGGATGGCGGGTGAGGGGCTCTGGCACTGTCCTGACATTGCCATCCCGACGCAGGGGACTCCCAGAAACCGGGCAGGTGTCCACGGGACTTCATGCGCTGCTTGCGCCTGGAGTCCCCACTCTGTGCCAACGACTCCAGCTGTCCCGCTGGGCTCAAGTGCTGCCAYTGGGAGTGCCGGCTCCGCTGCATCCCCCCGGCAGAAGGTACGGCGCGGGGATACAGCCGCTGACACCGCCTCTGTCCCGGGGCAGCTGGYGCCCTTCTCCCTGCCCCATTCCCTGTGCAACCCCCATTGCGATGGAGCCGCTCTCTGTGCGCTGCTGGCAGCCTCCTGACCGCCCCTGGGATATGTGGAACGCTCTGGGAGGGGACACATGGAGGGATCGGCCAGGGGGAGGCAGAGAGGTCTGGCAGGGGCAGGTTTCCCSGTGCTGCCCTAGGACAGTGCAGTGCAGCCTCACCTGTCGGCCCCTCGGCGCTGCAGAGAAGCCCGGTGCCTGCCCGGCAGCAGCCCCTGAGGGGCTCATTGCCCCCTGCTCCTTCCCCTGCCTGGAGGACGAGGACTGCCTGGGAGCGCAGAAGTGCTGCTCGCTGGGCTGCGGCTCTGCCTGCCTGGAGCCGGCACGGGGTAAGGGCTCGGCAGGGACGGCTGGGAGCCCCGGCCCACCCCGCGGACCCTCTGTGCCACAGACTTCTCCCTGCCGCCCTAGCCCCTGGGGCAGCACACCCAGCTTCCCCTGCACCGGCAGCTCCTGGCAGCTGCCGGGAAAACCCACCCCGGGACGTGGCCACAAGCACCGGGAATATGTGGATCATGGCAGGAGCCAGGGACCCCCGGGGCAGGCAGGGCGGCCAGTGCGGGATGCTGAATCCTCGCACCCATTCTGCCCTGCCAGACCAGCCCGAGCCCAGCGAGGGCCCCGCTGTGCAGCCAGGACCGTTCCGGGAGCGCTGCCGAGGCGACGGCGACTGCCCCGACGCGCAGAAATGCTGCAACAGCAGCTGCGGCCACCAGTGTCTGCCGGGAGAGCCGGCCGGTGAGGCAGGGTGGGATAGGACAGGATGGGCAGTGCGGGCGGGGACATGGCTCAGAGGCCGGGAATGATGCCGTGGGGCAGAAGCCACCATGGCACAGAGCTGTGGCACAAAGGGGACMACTCACCCCACGGTTACCAGGGCGGGTTCTGCTGGGTCTGGGGTGGGGACCCACTGCACAACTCCAGGTGGGCACTGGAATGGGGAGGGAAGGGGCCATTGAGACCACCCTCTGGTGTGGCCACCATCCTGCTCTCATCCTGCTCCGCGGTGCAGAGGACACCAGCCCTGCTCCAGCCACTCAGCGSCCGCTGCTGCACCGCTGGGGATGCCTCCAGGACCAGGACTGTCCCCCGTCCTACGTGTGCTGTCACCAGCTGTGCAGCCGGCACTGTGTGACACACAGCCAAGGTGAGGGGGCCGGGAGCCACCCCAAAGGTTCGACAGCCCCATGTGCCCTGGTCCCCTCGGCTGTGTCTCCAAGCAGTGGCACTGCAGCAATCCCACGCCATGCCTGCAGGAAAGGATGGATTCTGCCCAGCCCGTGCCGGGCTGTTCCCTAGTTATGATTGCAGAGCCTGGTGCTGGCACGATGGCGAGTGCCCCCGCGAGGAGAAGTGCTGCCTGCGTGGCTGCGACTATGTCTGCCTGTCTCCATCCCAAGGTGCCAGATACGGGCTGGGGTGTCCCTCAGCTCCGGGGACTGTGACACTGGGTGGGGAAGACCCGCTGTTGCCGCTTGCGCCCCCAGCCCCGCTGCCTCCCGCCCCCAGAGAAACCAGGCATATGCCCGCTGGCTGAGAATGCCCCGCTGGCCGTGGCCCCGTGTGGCACCACCTGCACCAGGGACTGGCAGTGCCCGGGGGCTGAGAAATGCTGCAGCAGCAGCAACTGTGGCCACGTGTGCTCAGCGCCCGAACCAGGTGAGGAGATGGTCGCCAGAACGGCGATTCCACCGGGARTGCTGTCAAAGCTCCAGGGTGCGGGATGTGGGACGGTGCTGCCATAGGGCAGGCACTCTGATCCCCGGGTGCAGTCATCGGGGCACCCCGAGGCTGCAGAAATATGGTGCCCGCAGCACGGGGTGGTCGCTCCTCTTGCTGTCTCTTCCTGCCCCTCTCAGACAAACCCGGTGAGTGCCCAAAGGTGAGGCCGCAGCAGACATCGCAGCTGTGCACGGAGAYGGACTCCTGCAGCCACGACAGGGACTGTCCCCGGCAGGAGAAGTGCTGCTTCTCCGGCTGCGCCATGCGCTGCACCCGCCCTGCCCGAGGTGAGCGGGCAGCCCGGCCAGCAGCACAGCGCGGTGATGTGAGAGCAGGGCTGGGACCACTGCCCTCACCAGGGTCCCTTCCTCTGCTAGAGCACCCCGGGGAGTGCCCCCGGGCACAGCCGTGCTGGGACCCGCGGCGCCGGCGAGGGAGCCAGTGCGTGGATGACAGCGTCTGCCGGCGAGAGGAGAAGTGCTGTGACACCGGCTGCGGCTGGGAGTGCGTGGCCGTGCCCAGAGGTAGCGGGCACAGCCTGTGTGGGGGAGCTGGCCCAGCCCCCAAGGGCCGCCAGGTGAAAGTGGGTTGGTTGCCGTGCCCCTGCAGACAGCGGGGACAGAGGTGATGGGCCGTGCGTGGAGGAGTGCCAGGCTGATTCACAGTGTCCCCGGGGACAGCGGTGCACCAGCGTCGGCTGTGGCCGTGCCTGCGTGGACATCCYTGGAGGTGAGAACCAGCCAGGCCCTCCTGGAGCCATGTGAGGCCACCCTGGGGTGCCCCATGGTGAGATGCCCCAGGCAAGGTGCTCCCCAGCTCGGTGCTTGCCTTGCAGGCAGAGTGGGAGTGTGCCCCATCCCCAGGGATGGGGGCACCTGCTTGGACCTGTGCAACTTCGACGAGGAATGTCCCTGGGGCTACAAGTGCTGCAGCAACGGCTGTGGCCACGTCTGCACACCAGCCTCTCTGCAAGGTCAGCCCCTCACACCTGCCGAGCCCAGCAGGGACAGAGCCCAGGTCCCCTTGGCACCCACCCCCGGCGCATCCTGGCCCTTCCTTCCCAGTGAGGACCTCACACTGTGATCGCCCTGGAACTCTGAGCTGGGTCTGCCAAGGCAGCTGTGCCTGCGGGCTCTCACACCCTCCAGGGATACCATCTGCCCCCATCCTTCTATACATGCCTCCCCCTGTTTCTGTGCAAGTGATGAGCACACTCAGCCTCAGCCTCAGGGTCACCAGGTGACCATTGTCCCCTGCCCACAGAGCACGACACTGTGGCWGTGCCCCGGCACGGAGCCGAGCGGTGTTCAGAGGAGTGCGAGGCTGACTCGCAGTGTCCCTGGGGACAGAGGTGCACCCGCACCTCCTGCGGCCGCGTCTGCATGAACACTCCCGGAGGTGAGTCACAACAGACCTGGGTGTTGCCCCAGGAGATGTGGGGTATCCCTGCTGGGTGGCTCTTGGCAGGGTGCTCTCCCTTGCAGGCAGAGATGGAGAGTGCCCCGTGCCCGGGGGTGGTGGGAGCTGCCTGGATCTGTGCAGCCTTGATGAGGAGTGTCCCTGGGGCTACAGGTGCTGCAGCAATGGCTGTGGCCATGTCTGCACACGAGTGTCTGGTGGTAAGAGGCCTATGGCCACCACGATGGGGCCAACCGGGGCTAACACCAGGTCATGCGGGGTGCCAGCTGACCTGTATGAAGGGCACAGCCCTCAGCATGCTCCCATGTGAAGCCAGTTCCCAYTGCCGCCCCATTGCTCTGCTCCCAGCAGATGCATTTGCAGGGTGGGGGGTTCTGAAGTGATGTGGATCAGGATGAAGCTCTCAGGGAGCTGGCCAGCATGGCTGCAACCGTGGCCACTGGTCCCTCACTGCTGCAGTCTCGTTGCTCCCTAAAAGCACATTCTCCTTTTCAGATGCTGCGTGATGGGAGAGCAGCTTCTCTGCAGCAAAATGCCTTCATTAGGGGACATGGGACAGTCATGGGCCCCAGCTGGCCTGTCTCCTCCCCACCACTTCCAGCAATAAAGTGCATGCTTCGCCACCCCCAGCTGCCCCGTGTGGTCCTGGAGTGGCCTTGAAATCACCTGAGGCCCCCAGGGCAGGAGRTCCAGCCGGAGCTGGTGCCACGGGTCAGTGAAGCAGTGACACAGACCCAGGGCGGGTTGGGGACAGGCGCCACCCCAGGCATCCATTGAGGCAGGAGCTGTTCCTCCTTCRTTCAGCGGCTTCAGCTCCCAGCCAGGTCATGTCGGCAGCTTGAAGGCAGGATTGGGCTGGGAGCCCATCTGTGGCACCGAGAGCTGCAGCGGGGCGGCTGGGGGAGCCCTGCCATGCCATGCTGCTGGAGGCACCCACCCCCCAGTCCCCATCAGGGAGGGGTGCCCAGAGGGTCGGGCGCTGTCTGCTCCTGCCAGCACGGGCAGGAAGGATGAGACCCAGACGTGCTCATCCAAGGACCCGTCCTTGTATTGTCACAGTCCAAGGTGAGGGACAGGCTCCTCGGGTCAGGCACCGTGCGTAGGAGGGGCTATCCATGCTGGCTTGGGCACACGTCCCTGTCCTTAGGCCAGTGAGCATGCCAGGCAAGATACACGGCCACCCTGGCCCACAGCCCTCATTGCCACCAGCCCTGCGGGGAATGGCTCCCTGTGGGGTCAGGGATGTGGCCACCAGCAGCAGCTTCCCCCAGGCAGGGGCTGTGCAGAGGCCACTGCACGTCCTGGACCAGCACTAACGGGCACCGGGCACTGAGAGATGGGGACAGGGGAGGCATGGGAGCAGCTGCCATCGGTGGCACATGGCCCACGGCACATGGCTAGTTACTGACATGGGAACAGGCCTGGAAGCACTCGCCCTTGGTCTCAAAGTTGTTCCTGTTGCCGCCGCAGCCGCCGTAGATGAACTCCTCACACTGCTGGCTGGAGGCGTTGAAGAAGAAGCGGCGGAAGAGYGCCTTGCAGTTCCCACAGACTGAGGGCAGGTAGCAGAAATCTGCRTGATCCAAAGGGGACAGGATGAGTCAGGGCAGGGTGGGGACACCGCCACGCTCAGTGCTCTAAGACCCACAGAGAGCTCTGCACAGTTCTGGGTCCTTCTTACCACCAAACCCTTTGTGCCAGCACACAGCTGTGCACCCACCTGCCCGCAGCCCCACACCTAGCAGCATCCCCACAGCAGTGTGGTGACCCCTGGGGTCTGCAAGAGCCAGCAAGAGCTCAGGAGAACCCCAGGGTCCTCCCTTCCCAGTTTGCTACCCCACGTGAACCGACACCCCTCCTGTCACCCACCCCTGCGCGTGCCCGGCTGCCACTCCAGAGCCCCATCACCACAGCACTGAGCTCTCACCCCACACTGGCTCCTGGCACGTGTAGCCACAYTTGCTGGGACAGCACTTGGTGAATCCGTGGCAGTCAGCATCGCTGGTGCAGTGGGAGCAGGAGGCGCCCCTGTGGCAGGAGCTGCAGTCCTTGTCCAGCGGGTTCTCCACCTCTGAGATGTGGTAGCAGTACCCRGGCTTTGCTGTGGGACACAGGGGCCGGGACACTGGTGAGAGGCACAGAGCAGGGCCCTCAGCAGCCCCCAGTGCCCGGGGTCAGGCTCCACACACCCACAGCCCCTCACCCGAGTGAGCACCTGGCATCACTGCTGGGCAGCAGCAGCACCCGGAGCGTCCCCATGCCCAGGACACGAGCTGGCCACACTCACCTATCCCCAGCTCCTCTCGTCCAGYTGCGTGTGGGGCCGGGCTGGATCTCTTGGCAAGGGGAAGCAGGGCAGCAAGGAGGAGAAGGCAGCCAGGYGGCAGCTCCATGGTGCCCTGGATGGCCAGGTCTGGCTCTGGGTGTGGTGGGCTGGGATTTAAGGTGCGTGGGCGGGGCGGAGGGAGCAGGGCTGGTGCCTAAACCCAGCTAATTCCTGCCATGCAGGTAACAAGCCACACCCAGGCAGGGCCTGGTCTCTCTGGTGGCATCCTGGCCACAGCCCTCGAGCTGGGGGGACCGGTAGGACGGGACAGCTGTTCCTGCACAGCCCTTGGGGAGCCCAGCTGGGTGGCAACGGCATGCCCAGGCTGGGCTGGGGACACCACCGGTGACTGCCACAGCCTCCTGGAGACGAGCCTGTTTTGGGGACAGACATGGGGAGGTTGGCACTGGCCTCTCTATTGCCAGGGATCATGGCAGTGCCATGCCAGGGCACGGGAAGCCACAAGCTCTGGCACTGCTGTCAGCCAGGGAAGGGCTGGGGTGCAGAACACTCCAGCACCACTCTCCCTGCACTCCCTGYGGTGCAAGTCCTGGGGAAAGGCTGTGCCAGAGCTGTGTCCCTTCACCACTTTCTCCCACACTGCCTCAATCCCAAGCAGGATGGGCCCATGCACAGGGCTGAGCCTGTGGGTACCACCTCGCTGCCCACCACTGTGGCTGTGGAAGGCAGGTCCCACTGGACAGTGATGCTCCCATCCATTCCCATCCTGTAGACATCTTTGGCCCTTTGCCGCCTTCTTCATCATCCTCTCTCGGTTTGGGGCCGTGCCCTGTGCCCTCCAGCAGTGCCCTGCTCAGGGCAGTGGCTGCACGGTCCCTGGGCCACCCCTGGGGATGGGACAGAGCTGGCGACCCTCTCGGTTTCCAGGTGGGAGTCCGGACCCACGGCAGCGCAGGGCTCCGGGCGCTGAGCAGGGCGGCACCCGCCGGTACCCGTGGGGTGGGGTGAAACCTGCCAAAAGCAGGGAGAAACAGATTAAGATGTTCCCATTCAGCAAGAATAATTGTCTTCCTAATTACTGCCGTAATTACTGTTCCAAGGGGGAAGCGGAGGGCGAGGAAAGCTCCGTGGGGATGGGCCATGACAGTCGGAGTCGGGATGGGGTTTAGAGGGCGGTACCGAGCCTCGCCCACGCCCTGCCGCAGCTTTTTCTGCTTCTCCTCCGAAGCCCCAGGATGAGGGATGAGGTCCTGGCAGCGTCCCCGGCACGGGACACGGTGACGTGGCGTGTCCTCCCCAAGCCGGGAGGGACGTGCCAGAGGCGGTCGGTGATGCGGAGTCAGGGTGGGCAGCAGGACATTCCCTTGAGCAGGGACTTAGCGGCCACCCTTGGTGACCAAAATCCACTGGGGCTGAATTTTGCCCGCTATCTACCCAGGGAATCGCAGCGGCCAGCTGGTCACTGGTCTGACTGATGGTRTCTTCCAGAGAAGCCCCGGCTGTCCGTACGCCCAGTAACACCATGGCCAGGCTGGGACGACACCACGATGGATGTCCCAGGGATGGGGGGGAGTAGAGGGGCTGTTCCCAGGTAGATGTTGGAGTTGCACATGACAGAAAACCACTCCCCGAGGAGGACTTGTGYCGTATCCCCTGTCCTGTCCTGACACCAGGGACTCGCAGGGCGAGCGATGGGCGCAGCCGTGAGGGCAGAGCCACCAGCCAGACCTCCTGTATGGGAAAGCAGTGAGCGGGGAACACCCAGGAATGCGGCACCTCCCAGGGCGGGCACAGCGAGGGACACAGACACGGGTGATGATGTTCGCGGCCAGCCCGGGGCACACGGCAGGGAGGTGCCGAGGGGCACACGGGCTGCACACACACACGCACTGTCCACGCCCGGCTCCCACGAGTGCACACTCAGGTGCAGACTGCCCGGCCGAGTGCCCGGAGCCCTCCTGTCCCTCCCAAGGATGGGCGCTCCCGGAAGGGACTGTCAGGGAAAGCCCCGGCAGCTCCGGTGCCGWCCTTGGAACATTTGCAGTGTCCGGTGCGGCCAATCCCATGCAAGAGAGCCGGAGGCGAGAGGCAGCTTGAGCACCGTGTGACGGCAATCTGAGCTCCCACTGCCTCTGGCAAGGACACGGGACCTGTTGCTCCAGCCCTGCAGTCCTGGCGCTCACACAGAGCCCCAGCCCTGTCCCCAGCACAAGGATCCCGTGTCCCCGGACCTTTCCCGGTCTCCAGGTGTTGGCCCAGCGGGGCAGCAGCTGGCCGAGAGGTGCAGGGCTGAGCGTGGGGCTGTGGACCGTGTCTAGTCACAGGACGTCCCTCAGGAACCAGCCGGTGTTCCCAGAGGCAGAACAATGCCCGGAGAGCTGCCAGGGCACCACGGGCTGCTCCACAGMGCCCAGTCCGGGGAGCCTTCTCCCCTGTTTCACCAGGCCAGCCCCAAGCAGGGTCCCCCTCGCTGCTGCCTGCCCCGTACCTGTCTCCTGCAGTGGGGCTGCTCTTGTCTTGTGGCACAGCACAGCTCTCTCTGGAGCCCAGCACCAAGCAGCAGCACCTTCCAGCCTGCTCCAAGGCTTGTCCAGCAGCCACTGCCCGCAGGAGGGAGGGGACAGGAGGGTTCACGCTCAGATGGAGCGTGTCAGGTGCTGGGGCATGGGCCAGGTCATGGGGACCAACCTTCTGGCCCAGGAGGATTTAAACCCCTGCCTGTGCCTGGAGAGCAGCCCCCACGCTGCCCATCCATGCCATGCGGCTGCTGTCGCTGCTCCTGCTCCTGGGGCTCTGCTGCCTCTGGGCCCGGCTGGTCTCCCCAGGTGAGTGAGGGTGGGCACAGGTGGGCACAGGTGGGCACAGGTGCATGCAGAAGCCAGTGGATGCAGGAGGATCTGCAGCCATGGGCACAGAGACCACTGTGACCATGGCTGGGGGTGCAGCATTCTGCCAGCGCCATCCCTCCCATGTCTTTGCATGCTGCAAAGGTGACCCTGGGAGAGCTTTCTGGGATATCCAGAGCCCTCACCCCCAGGGCCCCTCTGTGGGGCCAACAGCTGTGCCCAGACATGCTGCAGAGCATGGATTGCTCATGGATTGCATGGATTGCAAATCCTGAGCGTGGATTCCTGCCTTGCCCCAGAATTCACCTAGCCCCCACCTGGACCCGGACCAAGGACCCAGTGAGTGCAGCCAACCCACACTGGACAGCCAGATGACAGCTGGACAGATGGACAGCCAGCCATGGAGCGCTCCATCAGCTGCTGGATAATCACCCAGACCCCCAATCCCACCTCTACCCCCTCACCTTCAGCTCTGTGCTTACCATGGGGGTCTCCATGCCCCCTACCACCCAGTAAACTCAGTCTGTGATGAACAGTGTCTGACTCCTGCTGTGTCTGTCTCCTGGTGAGCTCCTGMCAGCTTCTGAGGGACCTTCAGTCCCTGTGGGAGGGATGGGGTCCCTGTCCTTATGGCTGCTGGCCAAGCTCTGCCATGGCAGYTCCTTTTGGAGGATGCTGGGGGCCTTGGGCAAGGTGGAGCAACCCACCCTGGGGAGCCTCATGGGGCGGGTGGCACAGACCCTACAGGGAGGTTTCCCCTGGTCCAGAGGTGCTCTGTGGGTCCTGGGTGGGTGCCTGGCTGAAGCTGTCCTGGGGGACAGACCAAGAGTACTGCTCGGCTCTGGGGTCTGCTCACTCTTCCTTGCTTCATTGTTTCATTGCCAAGTGGTTGCAATGTGGTCATTTTCACACCCTCYGAGGTCAGTTTTGGTGGGGGTTTCACTCAGTTCTGTAGTCCATGTCACAATATGATTGTTACAGTTCACACATCAAGATCTATGGGCTGCCCACCCCAGCCATTAATTTTTAATTAACATTTAAGYTACAGCTTTGTCTATTCTATTATTAACATTCAGATTGTCAGCCMTGGGTTTCACCACACTCTTTGACCTACACAACACACCCAATAYGGTTCAGATAAAGTTCAACTTGCATCTCACAAGTCCAGCTGCTGATGTCATAAAAGCACTTAGCTATCTTGAAATTACAGAAATTTTTCAACAGTCATGATCATCATAGTTGTCATCACCATTGTCATCACCATCACAGTCACTGTCATTGTCGTCATTGCCATCATCTGCCTCACTGTCACCATGGTCAGATCCAGGATTCTTTCCCGCCTCAGGCTTTTCTGGCTTGCTCCCAATCTCTGGCTTCTCCCCAGGTGACAGCATTCCACCATCCCTGTCCTCATGTCTGGCTTCTCCCCCAGCACAGATTCCTCTCCAGATGCTCGTTTCCCACCACTCTCCAGCTTCCCACCAGTCTCCAGCTTTGCTACAACCTCTGGCTTTTTCCTAGTCACAGTCTTCCCTCACATTCTTGGTTTTTCCCCCTTAATTTGGTTTCTTGCCAGGGGAATTACTATAAACATTCAGTGAATGTTTACACCCCGGTGGGAGTTTGTTAAAAGTATATTGTCCCTTACCGAGGAAATGCAAATTTCTGTTTATCCTCCTCTAATAAGAGGGACATGGAGGACACATCTTTCATATCCAGGGCTGCCATCCATGGGTGTGTGGCTGGCTGCAGAAATCCCATTTTGTGCTGCAGCAGAAGTCGGTACATTAGCAATTGTTGAGTCAGGGAGTGCAGGTGCTGCACAGAGCACACATACACTGCATTTCTGTCAGGTTTAGAGCTGGCATTTGAGCCAAAGGACCATACCCTGCTGAATGGCAGACACCAGRGCCAGCCCTTCAGAACATCAAAACCCAAATGTTTTCATTGTGGTCTCTAACTGCAAAGCAAGTGGYTGACATGCACTTCATGCCAAGGTGTGCTTCTCACCCAGGAGCCATGAATTAACCTGGGTGGTTTGGCATTTGGCACTTGCTCTGTTTGCTCCGGTAACTTTAACTCTTTGCTGACTAGGTGGAACACCCAACAACATTCTGTTGTGTTAATATTGAATCTCATGCTCCYGTGTCTGTTAAACATTTCATTAATTCTTGACAAGGTCCAATTGAAATCAGAATGTCTGGATCATTATCACGTCTGCATTAATAGGATTCCACTTTCCAGATTTCAGTCTGGCCTGGCTTACAGCCATAGTGCTCTTGCAAATCAGTCATCGAAATCAAATCAATTTGGGTTGCTTTGGTGTATAATTTCCCACTCCTTCCCAAGGTCCTCTGGTTTCTTCTGTTTCTGTTATGAGTCCAGTTTCATATTCAGAGGGATTTGAAGGAAACAAAGAATCATCTTCTCCAAGGTTAACTATGGTCAGGGCTACCCCAAATGTTTCCAATCTTATTCTTCAGGGGTTAACAGTTTTCTAATCTTTACACTGTCAGGGGGACTGGGAGTCCACATAAACRTAATCTCAGTCTTTTCTTCTGAYTTTTATTTTTATTCCTTTTCTTCCTGTAGCTTTTCTTCCTTCTCAAGTTTCAAAGACAATAACCACACAGCCACTTTCCTGCCTTCTGTTTCTCTCTCAGATCTTGTCTCTCTCTACTGTAGTTTTTCCTATCCTAACAGGCAGTTTCTTGGCAGGTGCCTAATATTTTACAAAAAATTCCTTTGYCCTTTTCATCTTTTATACAGTCCCTGGCCACCTTTAGCTTTTCAGTGGTCACACAGGGCAGAGCAGGGTCCGAGCTAGAAATTACCTCAGGATGAAAGGTACCAACCCCACTCCTGAGATGCTGATTTTCCCAAGCTCAGTTATCCCATACATACCAATAGTCCATCTGCCCTGTGTATCAGTCCTGTAATCYATGCTGAAGGCAAATCAAAAGAGTCTCCTCAAAAGCCCCCTGTGTGGGCCACAACTCTGAAGATTTTGCCCCAGAACATCCAATAATATATGGTCACTACTCCTGGCATAATATCACTATGAGTTTTTGAGATCATTTAGTAGTGACAACTATTGTCCCCCAGATCTGCAGGACCTCAGTTAAGGGCATCCCCTTCTTTATACCAGGTACATTTCTCACCTTTTCTAAATTCCACAAAACTCAAACTCGTAGAAGGCAGGACTTGAACCTCCTTTAGAGATTTGACACTACTCAGTCCTTCCTTACTCCAGAGCTCCTGGGTGAAACCAGCCACTGCTGCAAATTTGGATATCTGGAGTTYAGAAGAAAACAGGCAAGTGACCGARTACCCCWYTTGGGTTGCCAARCTGTTAAAAKAAATTTTTGACACTAGGCTCTCACATCCACCAGATACATTTATTGACAAAGATCAATCACGAAATCTGGTAGCCTGAACTGGGTGCCACAGAAGAGGGACCCAAAAATCCCTGAAAATTCTGGGCAGTTATAACCTTACAATCTAAAATCTCCACCCCCCATAATCGGCACGATTTTCATTGCTATTGGAGTGATCATTTTCAWAGTMATTGGAGTCACCRTTTTCATTGCTATTGGAATTGTCCCCATAGACACCATCATCACCATCTTCACTGCTACTGAAATCTTSATCACSAACACCATCATCACCATCTTCATTGCTACCAGAATTGTCCCCATAGACATCATCATCACCATCTTCACTGCTGCTGAAATCTTCATCACCAACACCATCACCACCATCTTCATTGCTACCGTAGTTGTCACCATCAACACCATCATCACCATCTTCATTGCTATTGGAATTGTCACCGTTGACATGATCAACACCATCATCATCACTATGATCATCATCAATGTCATTGTCACCATGATTGTGGTCACTGCCATCACAAAGCTGATTTTTATTACCATCATCACCATCACAGTCATTRGCATTGCTGCCATCATCACCAGTTTCATTGCTGCTGGAGTCATGATTTTCACTGCTATTGTAGTCACCATTTTCATTGCTATTGGAGCTGTTGTTGTCATTGTCACCATCACCATCATTGTTGCCAGGCACCATGATGGGCTCTTTTCCAGGCTCARGGTGCAGGACACTTCCTGGCTGCCCTGGTGGTGGCCACCCATCTGGAGCTACTCCATGGAACTCTGTAGGAGAGCAGAAAGCAGCAGCATCAGCCCCAGCGTGCTGCCCTCCCACCCAGCAGCCCTGTTCTCCACGGTGCTGAGCTGTCTTCTCCCCTGCAGCTTTTCCCAGTGGGTTTTTAGGGCTCTGCCTGTCCTCTGCTGCCCTCAAGGCTGGGGCCACTCAGCCCAAGGCCACGCTGGTGCCTCCCAATTCATGGCAATGTTCTGGTGGGACTGGTGCCTAAGGGCACCTCCTGGGTGCCTGTGCCCCAGGGCCAGCAGCCACCCGTGGCTCCAGCTGCACCAGGGAGTCAGGGAGAGATGGCACTGTGCCACAGCCCACTGTGACAYTGAGGTGAGCCCCACATCACCCAGGCTCATCCCACCCTGCTCCCAGCACAGCTTCCTTGGCCCTCACAAGGCAGAAACCTGGCACCTGCCAGCACCCACAAAGCACCTGTGATTCTATGAAAATACAGAAAAATATTCTTACACATTCTTCCCACCCGCCCATACTTGCCTGCAATGGGTGCTGCCTGCAGCTGTGCCCACAGGGCGAGGAGCCCCAGCAGGAGGACGCTTCGTGCCATGCTGACGGAGTCTGTGTCCAGAGCTGTGCCAACCAGCAATTTAAAGTGCCTCGCAGGCAGCCCGGGTCCAGGAAAKGGAGGAGGCAGCCCACAGGTGACTTCAGGAACCTCCCACATTTGGCTCTAATTCTGTGTCCTGAAGAGCCACTCCAGCTCCACCCACAGCCAAGGCAGGAGACGGATCCAGAGTTGGCTGCACTCCGAGGAGGATCAGCAGAAGGACTGCAGGAGGGAAGGGGAAACTTGGACTGCACAGAGAAAGATTCTTCACTGTTACTTTCAATAGGAATCCCCACAATGACCTTTATCCACTGCAGTGGCCCCAGTGCCAAGCTCTGCCCTAGTGCTGGGCTCTGCTGCAGGCAGGAGCCTGTCCYGGCCCTGCCATCCACGATGGAACAGGACAAGATCACCTGGCAGCAGCATCAGGAGACTGTTTGCAGATTTTTGTAAGTTAAAGATTCAAGGGCTCATTTGAGCACCTGTCTCTGAACCATCCCATTCCCAAGCAGAGMTTTTTTGGTGTTTCTACTGTCACTTGCCAGGTTTAGGCACACAAATGAATAAGCTCAAAGTTTAAATCTGCAGGTGTGGGGTAAGAAAAATTAATTGGTTTGAGCTCAACATTATTTCTACAACTCTAAGCTGGCACCTGACAGGAGCACAGGAAAAGCAAAGTCATGCTCAAAGAGTTTTGAATCAACATCATGCCAAGATGATGCAGGGACAGTGCAAAGGAAAGGAGCAAAACTCTGCACAGATCTCCACAAATCTATGTGGGAAGAGGCCTCATGGCAAGAAAAATGCTTAAAGTACAGGTTTATCCTTCTCCTCCTGCCATGACTCAAGGTGGACACAATTCCTCCATGAACCACCCATATCCAGCRGAGATCCAGGACTCCACACCTCGCAGCTGCCCGGCAGAACCCGATGGCCCGGTGTTGATGGCRCGTTTCTGTGGCTGCTAATCGCCACCAAGCCGGCCAGCCCAGGGCAGGCAGTGCTGGCCAGCTGGTGTCAGCAGTGCCAACTCCCTTCCACGTAGCTGGCAAACCATCTGGAACAACCTGAGGGATCGCAGGGCTCCTTCCAACCTCAGGAGTGCCACGGCAGAGATCTCTGTGTTGCTACCATCCCCGTGCTTGCCTGGTGGTTCCTCCTCTTGGGAACACCACCATAATTTTGGCATGTTTCTGTTTTAGCAGACTATAATCCTGGGTAACATTTAGGAAACTAATGGAGGAGAACGTCTGACAAGTGAACTGCTCTGGTGAAACAAACGCCTGAGGATATCAAGGGTCGGAGGGACTTGTTCAAAGTCTCCCTGAAAATCAAATAGGAACTTGGGTAACCTCAGCTGTGAACCAGCTGTTCATGTCTGGCAAACATGCACCTACCACACAGTAATGGAAAAATTACCATTAAAAACCAGGGCCTGGAGGAGACCCAAACAAGGCATCACACTGGTTACACTTAGGTGATCCCTGGCAGATGTTGTTCTGACACGCTCTTAAAAAGATATCCCTCTCCCTGTAAAACTGACATCTCCTTCACTGAGAATTTGCTCCAGGATTTAAGTCTTGTTAATYGGAAAGTTTTTCCAAAGATCTGATCCCAGCCTTACTTGATTCAAATAAACACAAGGGACAACTTGTCCATCAAGGTGGGTACAGAGCACAAGCTGGTCTTACAGATTAACAGTGAGTCTGTTAAATTCTCCTCACCTTTCCCTGGGAGTTCCTACAGCCACAGTTATTCTTCCTCTCCTCTGGGCAATGTCCAATTTTTGTTGCTGACAATTTTGAGCAACCAAAATAAGCACACAATCAGCCCAATGCTGCTGATAATGAAATTACGTCGATGTTCATGGTGACTTGGTTGGCCCCACATCCGCCAGTGGGTTCATGTAACAGCCCAAAGTTTACCCTGGGATGGTGCAGCCCCGACCAAAACAGCAGGAAGGGGATAAGGACAGGAGCTTCTTCCAGCGTGTGAGCCCATGAGTCAGCAGCCTCTGCTCCCACAGCCACTCCAGATTTCCRTGGGAGCCCAGTGTGGCCACTGCTGAGTCAACACCTACAGCAGGACAGTCACACTGAGGGATCACAGCCACAGGCTGCAGTGACAGACACTGAGAGACACCAGCACAACATCCTCTGGCGGCACCACCTCAGCCCCCACAGCATTGCTAGTGGGATTACAGAACCACAGAATGATTTATTTGGAAAAGACCTCTAAGATCTTTGAATCCAACCTTTGACCATTCACCGCTTTGTCAATTAAATCATGGCTGCAAGTGCCACATCCATTCATTTTGTGAATACAAATGAAACAAGAGGAGCACCTGGCAAAGCTGGTGGAAAGAAATCCCACCTACCCCTACAGCACAGCTCAGGGCTGCCCCACTGGCACAAAGGACAGGGACAATGCTTGGGGATGGCCTCTGGAGCACACCCCAGCTCCGTACAGCAAGTACCATCCTGCACTCTGGGAAATCCCCCTTGCTTGGTTTATGTCAYTGAATCCTCTCGGAACAAGGAAGAATGTTACCAGCAAAATAGCAAATGGTTTATCAATGCAAATTGTTATCCAGCTGATTCAAYAGAAAAAATTCTCTTTGACCACAACATGGGGCGAGATTAATAAGGAAATGACAGAAAAGTTGTTTTGACTATTCTCCACACATCAGACAAGATGAGGAAATGCTGGTTTGGGGTGTTTGGTCAGAGATTCCAGAAAGATGAATGATAGAATATTACACGAGGAACACCCAGTTCACGGAAAGAYTGGCATTCACACTCGTGCAGCTGCAGGTACTCGGGTCTCAGGGGAGAGGCCGTGTGTATCCAGCTCCACCCGCGACAGTCCTGCTGTGGGTGGGACAGGGTCATCTTAAGGCTGCAGGAATTTAGGATGCCCGGTCACGGCCTCCGAGGAGACCCGGCGGGGACAGCGATCCGCGCTCCGGCGGCACCTTCAGGGCGGGCACCGAGTGAGGCAGGGACACCGCGCACACAGCGGCGGTCACCCCGACCGGGCTCGGACCAGCCCCGTCCCCCCATCGCCCCATCACCCCGTTGCCCCGTTACCCCATCGCCCAGTTGCCCCGTTACCCCATCGCCCCATTGCCCCGAACGCGTCACATCCGTCGGGTCCCGATGATGCAGGCGCGGGATCCCCGCGTATCCGGTCGCTCGCAGCGGGGCCGGGAGCGGGGCCGGGAGCGGGGCCGGGAGCGGGGCCGGGAGCGGGGCCATGGGCGCTGCCCGCGATGCCGAGCAGCAGCCGGGGCCGCCGGGCGAGGAGGGCCCGGGCGATGCGGAGGAGCAGCTGGTCAGCACGGTGAGGCGGGGGCCGGGCCGGGCCGGGYCGGGCCGGGGGGCGGTGGCGGGGCCGTGGCTGACGCGTGTGTCCCGCAGAGCCCCTGGAACATCATGATCAAGCACCGGCAGGTGCAGCGGCGCGGGCGGCGCTCCCAGATGACCACCAGGTACGGCGGGACCGGGATGGGCCAGGCCAGGTGGTGGATGGAGGGGCAGGTGGGACAGCGGCACTGGGCTGGGCACCGGGCGGAGGGAGGGTCGGGTTGTACCGGGCCGGGCCGGTGCATGAYCCTTCCACCCGCAGCTTCACGGACCCGAGCGTGTCCATGGACCTGCTGCGCGCTGTGCTGCAGCCCAGCATCAACGAGGAGATCCGGGGCGTCTTCAACAAGTACATGAAGGTGAGCACTGGGGACAGCTCGGCTGCCACCGAGGCCATCGTGCCTCTCTGCGGGAGCTGGGCTGGCACTGCTCGGCTGGGCAGGCTGTCACCCTCTCCTGCCTTCTCCTCTCCAGTTTTTCCAGACAGCTGCCATCAATGTGCGTGATAATGTTGGGGATGAGGTAGACCCGGAGCAGCTCATCCAGGAGACCTGTCGGAGCTGCCTGGAGCAGGTGGGCACAGGCCAGGAGTTTCTTGTGTGCATGTCCCAGCAAAGCAGCCTGGCTAGAATGTGTCACTCTTAACAGCTTTGCTGTCACCATGAGGGGACATCTGCAGCCCTTGTGTGACTGCTGTGTTGGGATTGATTCTCACTAGGAAGAGGGGAGCCGTCATGGCTGGGCAGCTCATGCTGCTACTTCTCCCTGCTGCTATAGGAATATGGCACACAACTGTTCTATAGAGCTTCCACAGAATATGGCCCCCAGCATCCATCAGGGGGTCCTGGCGGGGTAGGGCTGGACATTTTSCTTTCACATCTTGCTTTTCTGCTGGTTTTCCAGAGTTTATCATGCTCAGATTGTGCTTTTGCATCGGGCTGTTGAAGCATGGCCTGGTGGTACTCCAAAAGCAGGGTTCGTGCAGGGCTTTTAAGCAGATAYGTGGAGGTGGGGGTTGCTGGTGGAACCCTCTCTGGGCCCAGAATCCATGGAACCTTCTTTGTCTTCCTGCAGGCCAAACTRTTGTTCTCTGATGGCAAAAAGGTGGTTCCCAGGTTGCCCCACGAGCAGACAGTGCCAAAGGTAAACACTGTAATTGTACACAGAGGTTTAAATGGCTTGTGAGACCTAGCAGGAGTAGAGCTGGAATCACTTTGTTCTCTGACTCTTCTTGGCCGCCAGTGCAGTAGTGCAGAGTGGGGGATGTTGGGCTTGAAGGGAATTCAGGGCAATGACAATCCCAGGTGTGGGTGCTGCTTGCTGCAGTTCAGTGCTGCTCACTGAGGTGGGGGTGTCAGCATTCACCTGGCCAGGTAGGGAGAAGAGCCCTGCTCATCCCWCTGCCCTCCCTCTTCCAGCGTGCCCGACAGATGGATGATGAGCTGAGCCGCCGAGGAAGCCCTGTTCCAAAAAAGGTAGGAGAGAGAGAGATTTTATGTTTTGRGAAGTTTGGTCCTCACTCCTGGCCATTTCCAAGTATGAGTGTGCACAGGTGCACAGGCAGCTTTTGTGAGGCACTGGAGGTGCTCGCTCTGGCGCCAGGCAGTGATTCTGCCTGTGACAAAAGGAGCAGCTTGCCTGGGAGAGGGAGGGTTGCTGAGAGGGTTCCCTCAGGCAGCACAGCTGAGTCACAGAAGGGTTTTTTCCCTGCAGAGAAAGGGGCGGCCTCCAGGACAGAGCCTGTCAAATGACCGCGGAGTYTCAGGCATGGCAGCGTGAGTATGGAACCTGAGCTAGAGCCCCAGTTTTGGGAGGGCAGGGGGAATGAGGCTGCCTGTGGGGAGCACAGAAACCCCACAGACTCCTTTTTGCCTGCAGAGAGGTGATGGGTGCAGGCAGGAGYAGGGTTAGGTTGAAGTATTCCTCCCTGGAGGCAAAGACCTTCAAAGAACGGATTTTAAACAGGTCCAAAGGGGTGAAAACGTCCAGATGGACCATTCAGAGTGAGCAGTGAGACACAGGGCTTGGTGGAATCTGGGCAGCTGGGAGAGGAGAATGTGAGCAAAGCTGAGGGTCTGGAACTTGGTGTTATGGGAGAATGGAGGGTGTGAACAAGGGTGGATCTGGAAGGGCTTGGACTCATCCCTGCCGCTGCTGGTGGCTAAGGTGGTCCCACTGGGATTCATTCTTACAGTGTTTTTCTTCCCCTCAGGTGGAAGCTCAAAGTCTCTGAACCTGTGAAAAGGGATGGACCAAAGGTATTGGCTGTCCGACACTGCTGGGCTCCCTCTCTCCTCCCCTKTGCTCCCACCAGCAGAGCCCTGCAGCTGCAGGAGCGCAGGACAGTGCGGGCTGTGCTCTGTCCTGACGGGCTCTGGGTATGGGTGGAGCAAGAAGAGGAAGCGAAGTGCCTGGAGGCCTTTGCTGGTCTCCCCAGGCACTGTAGTCTGTAGCCYTGCGGTGTGGTGCCGCTGGGGGAGACCTGAGGAGAGCAGGAGTAGCCAGGAGAATACCCCAAGTGTTTCCCATCAGGGGAACTGCTTAGATCAGCCCAGACGGAATGTAACATCCCTCCACTGCGGAAGGCTGGAGGTCTGTGGCCAGCTCCCTCCCTCCCAGGCTGGAGGTAGCTCCAAGGTTCCCCATCAGAGAGCTGAGGCTCGTGGAGCATGGCCAGCACCAACTTCATTTCTAATGTTGCCCCTTTTCCAATTGCTCTGTAGTGGGATCCATCCCGACTGACTGAAACCACAACCTTTGTGCTGGGATCTCGAGCAAACAAGTAAGGAACGGCCCTGTCGATGGAGGGTGGTGGCCCCAGGCAGGAGCCCGTGACACTCCTCCCGTCACTTCGCTTCTTTGCCTCGAAAGCAGTAGGAAGGGCTTGGGGAGGAGAGGGGTGTCCCTGTGCCACCGCAGCCGCCCTCCCCACAGCCCTGACACCCCTCGTGTTCCTCTTGCAGAGCTCTCGGGATGGGAGGAACAAGAGGGCGACTCTACATCAAGCATCCCCACCTCTTTAAGGTCAGGTGCCGCAGCCGGGTGTTTTCTCATGGGAATTGGGAGCGTGTGCTCCCTCGTTTGCTTCCTCCCCCGTGCCCTTTTTTGTTATCTTGGAGCACGTTCCCAAGGTCTGGCTAGCACACGGAACACGAGCCAATGGTGGCAGTGGGTTTGCCAGAGCCAGAGCTGAGTCTGGAGCAGGGCAGGCGGAGCGGGGGGCAGAGCAGAGCGGGGCACAGCATCCCAGTGAGGGGGATTCTAGGGGAGGGTCTGTCACCCRCGCTCAGCTCGGTCCTTGCTGCTTTATTGCAGTACGCAGCCGACCCGCAGGATAAGCACTGGCTGACAGAGCAGCAGCACATGAGGGCCATTGGGGGCAAGATGGTGAGTACGGCCGGGCGCAGGGCCCGCCGCAGGGCCAGCACGGGCGGAGCAGCCGCGGGACAGGCGGCGGTGGCCGGAGGATAGGCAGGGCGTGGGGACACAGCGCTGCCGAGGTCCATCCCTGCCCACGGGACCGGGGTGCGAGTCAGGAGGCACAGCTGGCTCCTGCAGGGACAGCGCTGGCCAGGGGATGTGGCACTGCCATGGCCACCCCTCGCAGGAGCCCTGAGGTGTCCCCCGCCTTGTGCCATAGGCCTACCTCCTCATTGAAGAGGACATTCGGGATTTGGCCGCCAGTGAGGATTACAGGTGAGGACCAAAGCATTCTGAAGGTGCTGCCCAGCCTGGGGCTGCTTCCCTGGGGGCCCCCACCATGTCCCTCCACTCCGCTGCATTGTTGTCCTGTTCTGGAGGGACTCTCCGTGATGGCTGGGGGGCTCAGTTGTGGTTGGGGGTTGGTGCCAGGGGGCCGTGTTGGGTGATAAGATTTGGACTTCATGTTGGTTGGGGGTCCATGGTAAGTTTGGGCTTGGTGCTCCATGGTGGGTTTGGTGGGTCTAGACTTGGTACTGATGGGTGCCAGGGGACATGGTGGGTTTGGGGTCTGTAGAGGGTGCTGGAGTCCCTCCATCTCACCCCACTTCCTGCCCAGGGACTCTGTTGATCTGCGGCTGGAAGAGCTAAAGCCCTTCATCCCACCAGCCTGGATGACTGAGAAGATGCAGAAGCACATGGAGACCCTTCGCCGCGGGGGAGATGTGCCACCCCCCGAGGGTCCCCCCGAACCGTGAAGCCCCCAATAAAGCCGCTTTGTCCCCACCTTGTCGCCTCCTGGGAACCGGGACGGGGTGTCTGGCCCTTTAAGGGCCTGCGGTACCCGTGGCTCCGCCCCTCGCGGGGTAGTGGCCAATCGCAGCGYTGTGCGTCAGCAGCCGCTGGCCGTTACCGTGAGAGCCGCATCCTCGGCGGGCGCTGATTGGCCGGCTCGAACGGGGCTGCGCGCTGATTGGTGAAGGGGCCGCACGCGGAAATATTCAAACGGGGCGCGGGGCGGCGCGGGACGAGTGTACTGGAGTGTCCGGGACCGGGTGTGAGCGGGCCGCTCCTGCACCGGAGAGCATCCGGGACCGGGCTGCGACCGAGCCGCTCCTGCACCGGAGAGCATCCGGGACCGAGCCACTCTTGTACCGGAGACGGGCTTGGGACTGAGCCGCTCCTGGACCGGAGAACGTCCGTGACCGGTCCACCGCTGCTGCACGGGAGAGCCCCAGACACCGCTGCTTGGCACCGGGAGAGCCGTAGAGGGACCCTAGTACTGACCCAGCGCGAMCGCGGGAGGGAGGGAGCGAGCGGAGCCTGGTGCGGTGCCCCCCGGGAGCGGGAGCCGCGTCCAGCCCGAGACCCGCCGGCAGCGGCGGCCGGAGGTCGGTGCGCCCGTCTGTGCCCCGGGAACCGCTATGGCTTCACAGAACGCCGACCCCGCCGCCGTGTCCAGTGCAGCCGCCCGCAAAGCGGCCGAGACCGGGGCCACGGCGGCCCGCGGCGCGGTGGGGAAGAGGTGAGCAGCGCTGGGGCCGGGGCTGCGGGCGGGGTCTGCCCCGCCGAGCTGGCCGGTAACGTGCGCTTTCTCCGCAGGCTGCAGCAAGAACTGATGGCGCTGATGGTGAGTGGGGTTCCGGTGCCGAGTCGGGGTTTGGGGATTCTGTGACCAAGACGGCGGTTGGGGGTCCCAAGGACTCCTGGGGCTGAACTGGGGCGGTGGAGTGGGTTTCGGGGTATCCGGGGCCGCCGTGACGCGCTGTCCCCGCAGATGTCCGGTGACAAAGGCATTTCCGCCTTCCCCGAGTCCGACAATCTCTTCAAATGGATCGGAACCATTGACGGCGCCGCCGGGACGGTGAGAGGCGAGACCCGGGCTGGGGGAAGGGAGGCCCTGACCCTGCCCCACCCTTCTCCCTTCAGCTGAGGGTGCTCCCAGCCCTCCCCTGGCCCTGTACCTTTTTTGCCCCGAGGTTTCCCCCGCCTCTGGGGCTACGACCCACCTTGACTCCTATTCCACTCGGCTTCCACCCCCAGCCCTACGAGGAGCTGCGGTACAAGCTGTCGCTGGAGTTCCCCAGCGGGTACCCCTACACAGCACCCACCGTGCGGTTCCTGACCCCCTGCTACCACCCCAATGTCGACACCCAAGGCAACATCTGCCTAGATATCCTCAAGGAAAAGTGGTCGGCGCTGTATGACGTCCGCACCATCCTGCTCTCCGTACAGAGCCTGCTGGCAGGTGGGTCTCATGGACAAACTGCTGTGGAGTGCTGGGGGAAGGGGTGGTGGTGGTGGTGGGGATCTCCAACCCAGAGCAGGGCTCAAGGGTGTCCAGTTACCCCACCAGCTGACCCAGCTGCTGTTTCCAGAGCCAAACATCGAGAGCCCCCTGAACACACACGCTGCYGAGCTCTGGAAGAACCAAGTCGGTGAGTGCCTGGTGCAGAACCCTCCTGTTTCCTCCCCACTGGGCTCGGCAGCAGCACGGCCCCAATGCCACTCTGGCCCCGCAGCTGCCCTGGCAGCTGCCTAGTAAACCCTTGGTACCATGTTTCCCCTCTCTGTTCAGCCTACAAGAAGTATGTGCGGGAGACGTACAACAAGCAGACAAAGAGCCAGGAGACCTGACCGTCACCACCGCCCCTCACCACACCCGCTCCCTCCCAGCCATCCTTCGCGTTCTGTATCATAGGCTGTTTTTAAATTAATGTTGCAGTCCGAGCCACGGTTATTGTATAAATAAATGCACGTTTATAACTCCTGCAGGGGATTCTGTGGCAGCCAGGCACACTCTGAGTGCCCAGAGGCCCCTATGAGTGTGGGCAGGGAGGGTGGAAGTGACACTGACCCCTGTAGGCTCACAGGGGCATTATCAATATTTGGGGACCTGGACTGGCCCCATTTCTTCTGCAGGATGCAAAGGGAGGGGGTACAGAGGGCCTCTGTCCCTTGCTCTGTGCTGGGGGTGCCACCTCTGCTATTTCCTGCCTCCCCCAGCTCAGAGCACCCCACAGCAGTGCCCAGTGCAGGGGCCTCCCCAAGCCCCTCTGGCTGTGGTGCCATCCATCCCTGCTGGCTTTGTGGTCTCCGTGGCTTCCACCGTCCATGGSGGAATGTTGGCTCCACTCTCCATCTCTGCCAGCGTGGCCCTCACCTGCTCGATCTCCTCCTCCAAGCACTGGGTGGTTGGGGGCTGTGTGGGACCCCCTCCTCGCCGGCTGGGCAGCCCCCAGCCCCCCAGCCCGGTRCGCAGTGGGGTGACACCATCCCCTTGGGTGGAGAAGAGCTGGCAGAGGTGCTGGGCTCTGTACAGGTCCTGCAGGAAGAGCTCCAGGGCAGACAGGAAGAGCACCCACAGCCGTTCCAGCTCCTGCTGCTCCAGAGAGCTCACTGGTGCTTGCCGCAGCCCCACCAGCAGCGCCCGCCGCAGCCCTGGGGGATAGGAGTGCTGAGCTGGGGCGGCCCTGGAGCCCCTCCTTGGCCCCAGTGTGGGAGCAGAGGTTCTCCGTGGCTGCTGCCCAGTGCAGCCATTCCCTCCTTACCCATACTGAGCTCRCAGGCCTCTGTGCTCCTCCTGCGTCGCTCCTCACGCAGCCGAGGGCTGTCTCCACTCCCTCCGAGCTGCAGCACCAGCTGCCGGTGTCCAGCYGTGGCCTTGCAGAGGGCAGCCTGGGCTGTGGCACACGTCCCCACTGCCCCCCTCCTGTGACACGCATCCCTTCTGCCTGGTGCCATTGCACCCCGTGAAAATAAGGCAGGGTCAGGGTGCCCACGGTGGTGCCAGGCTCTCCAGGGGTCTCGGTTGCCGTGTGCCACAGCGCTGTGCTGTGGGTGTGTGAGCAGCTCTGAGCTGTGTGGGTGTCTGAGTCCCACGGTCCCACCCACCCTGGCTGGGGACTGTAACCCGCCTCATTCCCCCTGCTGTTCTCCGCCCCAGCTGTCCCCAGGGAGCTGTGGTGCCCAGCAGGCTGGCACAGCCTGTCCAGAGARAGACACAGAGAKRAGTRTCACCTYTCCCTCCRCAGGGAGGGGGCTGCTCCTGGCCTTCCACCTTATAGCCAAGTCCTTGGGGTGGGAGGTGTGGGGTGGGCAGTGTGGCTGTCTAGAACTCCTGCGGTCCCACAGCCCTGCCCTGGACTCCTGGGAGCGGGGGCCAAGCTCCCTCGCCCTCTGGCGTGTGAACGAGCTGCTCTTCATGGAAACTCTGAGCTCAGYGCTGGCAACCTGCCCAAGAAACCGTGGGAACCACAGCCCTGTGCTGCCCCTGCAGCACTGCCCTGTAGCGTGAGGCTGCCCACGTTCCATCCCTGGGGAGCAGAGCAGGGACACACCGCCCCAGCCCACTCCCCATGCACCCCGAGTGAAGTCCCACACCAGCAGCTCAAGCTTCTCCTCTTTTATTGAGGCTTGAATCACAGCCACAGGTGACAGATGGGAGGAAAAGCTCAGCCGCCGGTGGTGAGATGAGACYGGGACCCTGGCACAGAGCAGGGTCCCAGCCAGCGCTGAGGGCCAGGTGCTGTGGAGCTGCTGCTCCCTGGACAGCAGGGGAGCAGGGCTGGGTGCAGCAGCCGGCCCGAGGAATGTCTGGTCCCTTACTGCACACCCTCCATCATCTTCAGGAACTCTGCAAGAGAGCAGCAGCCTCAGCCCATGGTCGTGACAAGATGCACAGCATGGGCACTTGGCTGGGGCCATCACTCACCATCAAAGTCAATGCGACCGTCGTTGTTCTTGTCTGAGTCCTTCATCATGTCCTCTATGTCCTCATCAGTGACAGGCTCCCCGGTGGCTCTCAGGATCTCRCCCAGCTCCTCGATGTCGATGAACCCATCCGCATTTCTGCAGGAAGGGGAGGGAGGGATGGGATCTCTCTCGCCCCCACAGGCAGGAAGGGCCACTTTGCTCCCGCACTCACCGGTCAAAGATGCGGAAGCAATTGGCCAACTCCTCCTCAGACTTTCCTTTGGCATCCTCTTTCATCTGGCGCACCATCATGACCAGGAACTCCTCGAAGTCGATGGTGCCGCTGCCTGTGGGGAGGAAGCCAAGCGTGGGTCAGGCTGCCTGCCCAGGGTCCAGTACGCACCCATGCCACCCTCCAGCAAGGGCTGCTCACCATCCTCATCCACCTCCTCGATGATGGCATCCAACTCCTCTTTGGTGGGGTTCTGGCCCAGCATCCTCATCACCGTCCCCAACTCCTTGGTGCTGATGTCTCCACCGCCATCAGCATCAAACATGTCGAAGGCGGCTTTGAACTCTGTGGAGGGAGAGGTCAGGGCCAGACAGTGGGACAGGGCCAGGCCCTGCACCATGSCCACATCTGGCCACGCTCCCTGCCTTCCCCACGCTCACCCGCAATCATCTCCTCGCTGAGGAAGGCGCGGGCTTCTGCCTGCTGGTCCGTCTGCAAGGCAAGGGAGAGCGGTCACTGCACCACCCACATCAGGCCAGARACCCCTCACACAGCATGGCCCTACAGAGCCTGACTGTGGGAAGAGCCTCYGCCCTGCCCTGCTGCAGGATGATCCTGTGCTGGTATGAGCCACAGACCCCTATAATCCCCACAGTTCCAGTGCTTTCCAGGCATCCATGAGCATGGTGGGCTGCAGGGAGCTGCCTGCCCGAGTCCCYCACTGTCAGGGGGGCTCCATTGTGCAGGGGTCATGGTCCCTGTATGCAGCCTTGGCATTCTAGGCACGCAGAGCTATTTTAGGGATCTCCTCAGCTCCCCTTGTAGGGATCATTGGGGCTACAGCCRTGGCACCTGTCAGCCCTGATCGAGTTTCTCCTGGAGGCGCAGGCTGACCATGGAGTCGGCAGCAACACTGTGTCGCATGACCCAGCGCTCGGCTTTCAGCCACCCCAGCCACCGCCGCCTCTGTGCAGTCCTGAGCTCRGAACAGAGCTGAGATCGTGTCCCTGGGCACCTGCACCCCTTCGGCAGTCACACASTCACTCCTGGATCTGTCCTGCCAGGACCCTGCACCACCCCAACACCTCCCTGCCCTCCCTGCCATGGCCAGCCCGGCACTGGGGACCATCTCCCTGCTGCCCTCTGCAGAGGCACCACCACAGCCCAGATCCCTCTGGTGCCTCCTGCCCAGTCAGGTCGCATCCTGGCACACAGCACATGGCACACAKCACACAGGAACTCTTACCATCTTGGGAATTTATGGTGCTTCCCACCCCTGGAGAATCACCAGCTCCTGCAGCAGGAACTCCCAGAAGCTTCGTGCTGCCCCTGGCACCCCAATTTGTAGTGTCTCCTGTGTGGGATGTGCCTCTAGCTCCTGCCCCCTGGCCCCCGCAGCCTATCAGCTCCCTGACAGCACCCGTCTCCTCTCACTGGCAACTGGTGCCTTTACCTAATTTAGCCAAAGCTTTATTGGCCAAGGCCTGGGATTAMCGTGGGGCTGAGGCTGGGATGGAAATTCAAGCCCTTCAGGAGGGACATTAAAGCTGTGGCAGGAGTGCGGCTCTGCCCACCCCCRACACCCCCATCCAAGGCAACTCAGCAAGGAGTGGGTTAAAAATAGCCCTGGAGATGTCAGCATCACCCGGGTAAGGGGGCCAGGGTCTCCCCTGCACCAGGGMCATGGATCATCGCCCACTGCYCCCTGAAAACAMAGGGYACCAAGCTCCCAGYACCAAACTGSTTTTCCSTGGTGTATCATGTCCCCACATCCCMATTTTCTGCTCCAAGGGGCCCAGGTAGAACAGTGCTGCAGCCCCCTGTTCCAGACAAGGAAGGGATCTCCAGTGGGACCTGGAACATGAAGTCTCTGGAGAGATTTGGAGCATGAGCTCCATGGTTTGGGGTCCCCAGTGCTGCTGGCACCTGGGTCCGGAAACAGCTCCATCTTTTCGTGCTTCTGAGGCGCGGGAATTATGCCCAGTGCTTCCTCAAAGGTACAGCCACAGCCTGTGCCAACCACTGTTGCCAGGGCCAGCTGGGGCTGGTGGTTCTGGGCATGCACTGGCCAAGTGGCTCATGCCCTGTGGTGCTCAGAGCCTCAGGGCTCCAGAGGGGCTCCTTGTCCCATAAGGTCCCAGTGCCACTGACACCCAGGGGTTTCCTGGCTCCTGGTTTTGCCAGAACCCACAATCCCCACGCGGGAGCTGGGAACAACCCAAGTCCAGCCCCCAGYGCATCCCACCCTGTCAAGGAAATCTCAGGGGTCCCGTCTGAGCCCAGTTGGAGTGCAGGGTGCTGGAACAGGGTGCAGCGGGCAAGCRGGGCAGAGCGATGGCAGCAGCTGGGCCGCTTCCCCGATATTAATAGACATTCCCAAGGAAGTGGTGAGGAGTGAGCGGGCGGGTACTAAAAAAGGCCGGCCGAGTGCCGGGGGTGCAGCCTGGCCATGGGACGCGTGGCGAGGCCGTCTGAGGCCATGGCAGCAGGATGCCAAGGTGGCCCGGGGGACATCCCACCACCCAGTGGGATGGGGAGGCTGAGTCTGGGGTGCCATGATACAGGAATACCAGGCTGACAGGGTACAGGGGTACACGTGTGCCAGAGTATTTGGGCTATCAAGATCCTGGGACACCACAGTGCCGAGCGCCAGAATGTGGGGCTCCTGTGGCCCCAGCGCAGATATCAGGGGCTCCGCCCGATCAGGACATCCTGGACAGGGGACAGAGGAGCAAAGACTGGGAAGGGCTGAGTCGGCTCCAGAGCAGAGGCTGCGCGGAGCACCAGGCTGAGCCCTGACCCTGGTCCGATAGTCCCGGGCGGTGCTGCAATGACCGATCCCGATCCTGGCTGTGATGGGCAGTGCCGGGGGAGCCGATSCCGATGGTGCCGGGCGGTGCCGCAGGCGCCGATCCCGATCCCGGCCGTGCCGGGCGGTGCCGGCTCCACCGCCCCGATCCGGGTTCCCGGCGGAGGCGGAGCCGCGCAGGGAGGATCCCGGGACGAGCCGTGGCGGAGCGGCCATCGCTCGGCACCACCCGGCTCGGCCCGGCCCGGCCCGGGACAGCGCGGACGGAGCGGGGCGGGGGCAGCACCGGGACGGTATCCCGGGGCCGGGCTGTCCCCGGGCAGGGCCGTGCCGCGGTGGGCAGCCCCCGGCCCCGCCGTGTCGCCGTGCCGGCCCGGACCCCCCGGCAGCGATGGCCGCCCGCATCCTGCACCGGCTGCGGCACGCACTGGCGGGTGAGGGCGGCCGGGACGAGCCGGCGGGCGGCGGTGGCGAGGCCGAGGACTGCCCGGAGAGCTCGGAGCTGGAGGATGACACCGAGGGGCTGTCGACGCGCCTCAGCGGCACCCTGAGCTTCACCAGCCACGAGGACGAGGAGGAGGAGGAGGAGGAGGAGGGGGACGGAGCTAGCGAAGAGCTGGAGGAGCTGGCGCCGGGGGCGGCAGCAGGCACGGAGGACGGAGGCAGGTGGTGGGGCGGTGAGCTGGGGGGCCTGGGGTGACTCCAGGGACATTCATGCKATGGTGGCGCCCGGCAGCCCGACAGATGTCAGAGCTCTGTCCCCACGGAGGGCCCTGACACCCCTCTCCCGGCACAGAGTGGGTCTCTGCGGCGGAGCGCCCTGGCGGCAGCCTGCTGACCCGGCAGCTGCAGGAGCTGTGGCGGAGGTCGCGGGGCAGCCTGGCACCGCAGCGACTGCTCTTCGAGGTCACCAGTGCCAGCGTGGTCAGCGAGCGCTCTTCCAAGTACGTGGTGAGTGAGCCCGGCGTGGCTGGGCAGGCACAGGGTGGGTACGAGTCCTGCTCKCCGTGGGGCTGGGATCCCACGGGGCTGCCGCTTATTTTTTTCTCTTTCCCCGTGCTGCTCGGATGGTGCTGGTGGCTCAGATGAGCCTCAGGTAACTATTGCTGATGGGTGCTGCGGCTGTGGCAGCCCAGTCCACTGCCTTCTGTGTGGGCAAACTYCCCCAGCCCCTTTGCGGCCGCACAGCCGGCTGTGCCGGTGCCGGGAGCAGCGTGCCCACAGCACTGCCTGACACCTGCCTCCCCTGCAGCTCTACACCATCTACCTGATCCGCTCTGGCCAGTTTGACAAGGCTCCTGCCACCATCGCCCGGCGCTACTCGGACTTTGAGCAGCTGAACCGCCGCCTGCGTTGCCGCTTCAGCTGCGACATGGCCAGCATTGCCTTCCCCAGGAAGAGGCTGCGCCGGAACTTCACCGCTGAGACCATTGCCAAGCGGAGCCGAGCCTTCGAGCAGTTCCTGTCCCATCTGCACTCCATCGATGAGATCCGCCGCTCTCCTGAGTTCCTCGAGTTCTTCTTCCTGCCGGACCTGCAGGCTGCGCAGCGCCTGACCTGCACTGGCATGTACCGCGAGGCCCTGGCCACCTGGGCCAACGCCTACCGGCTGCAGGACCGGCTGGGGGTCTGCAGCTCCGGCCGCTTCCTGCTGACTCTGGCCGGGCTGGCTGTCTGCCACCAGGAGCTGGACCAGCTCAGTGAGGCCCATGGTTGCTGTGAGCAGGCACTGCAGCTGCTGGAGGCTCAGGGCAGCCACCCGCTGCTGGGACCCTTCCTGCAGGCCCACGTCCACCTGGCCTGGAAGGTGGGCAAGGACAAGCGGCGCTCAGAGGCCCGGCTGCAGGACCTGCGGGAAGCCGGGCTGCCCCTGCAGCAGCAGCCTTCCCTGAAGGAATRCCTGATCAAGGAGCCTCTGGAATGAACAGCCTGTGCCCACATGGGCGGGAGGGCAGGGGCTGTGGGGGCTCACACCCGTGGCAGCTGGGAACACTGAGAGCAATGCCGTGGGTAGGGATGGGGCAGGGGAGYAGCGCTGCAGTCCCACGGGCAGCACAGCCCATGCCTTGAGCTGCCTCCTGAATGCACTTTCTCTGTGGTTAGTCTGTCCTGCGGGGCTGGGGACTCACGGGGGTCCACCACCCACACCGGTGCTGCCAGAAGCTGCTCCCCCTCTTTGGGGGATCCTGGAGTGGCTGKGACTTTAGCTGGGACGTACTGGCACCTTGCAAGGGAATGGGAAGGCTTCTGGCAGGGTCCAGGGCTGTTGCCGGGAGCTTCCCATGAAACTTAYATAATAGAAAGGACTTTATTAAATAAAGTCTTGGCAGGAAGAAGAGTAAGGTGCCTGCTGTGTCTGTTCAGTCCCACTATCCCAGGACACCATCAGTGGGAGGCCTCAAACCTCCCAATGGAAGTGGGAGCTGCCTCATCCCMTTCTCCTGACTCCAAGCTGGCCTCAAGCCCAGTCCTGGGGAGGAGTCCAAGGGCAAGCAGAAGTAGCAACTGAGGCACCAGGGCACAAGCAGTGCAGAAGTGAGAACAGGAAGCAAAGTGTGTCAAAGTAGCACTTTCCCCTCCTGTGACCCAAATGCGATAGGGGCAGAGCCGACCCACTATGCCCCTGGCACTGCCTGCCCTTGGGCAAGCATAGTCACAGGTCCAAGAGGACAAATTCCAGGGACAGAGTCCAGCTCTTCACCCAACAGCTTTATTTTAAGGTGGGTGAAGGATAGCTGATGGCAGTGTGTGGTTACATGGTGTGCAGCTAGCAGCTGGTTGCAGCRATGCTCTGTTGGTCACTGTTGCAGATACCTCCAGCACCAGGACTCCCCACAGTGCTGAATCCCACCTGGTCTCCTTTTTCCTGTCCAGGTCCTGTCTTGGTCCCAAGCTCCCTTCCTCGGCATGCCTGAGCCCCAACCTGTAGGGTCTCCTCAGCTAGAGCTTGCTCTGGTTTGACGTCTGTTCCACCCTGATGACACCTTCCTGCGCGCAGGTGACAGCCAGGACCCCGTCCCTGCGCCACARCCGTCCCTGCACGAGGCCCCGGCACCCACCTGCAGAAAGAAACTGTCAGACTGCAGCTCACTGCCCCCAGGACAGGCAGGGCTGGCCTCGACCATGGAGGTCTCCCAGAAACACACTAAGGACTTACCCGACCAGGGGCTCTCACACTCGTACAACATCCAGTGGTCAGCTCTGAAGGGTGCGTGGAACCACATGGAATGGTCGAGGGACACCATGAACTTGATGCGGTACTGCCGGTGTGGGAGCAGGGCCGTGCCCAGGAAGGCGTAGTCAGAGATGTAGGCGGCCACGCAGCAGTGCACTTTCATGTCAGTCTCCCCTGCAGAGCAACCAGTGCTGCCCATCCCACAAGGGCCCGTGGGGCACGCCTGGGAGTCCCAGAGGCTCCATTTCCCTGGAGCCAGCTGCCAAGCACAGCTGAGATTCTTCYAGACCTGCTCCCTTCACTCACATCCCCATGAGCATGGCTCACASCATCACCTTTGCACCCACACCTGGATTACAGCCTTGAAGCACCCAGGCTGGGATGCAGGCAGCCCCCAAATCACAGCTCTCCCAGCCCACTCTGTTGCAACAGTGCTGTACCGTGTCAGCTGGTGCCTGATTCCTTAGATTGGGAGGCACCTGGACCCAGCAGGACCCACCTATGTAGCCTCGTGCTCGCACCCAGAAGAGCTGCTTTGGCTCCTGTGGCTCTGAGCTGAATGTGTCCGGTGGGTTCACGGGTTTAATGTCAATCGGCACATCTTCGGCTTGGATCTTGGTGAGTTGCTTCCTGTATCTCTCAGCCAAGTTAGGATTTCTGCAGCCCAGAACAGAACCAAGGTTAATGCCAGGCAGGCASGCTGGAGCACATCCTACTGGCAGCAGCTCCAGCCCAGGGGCACACAGAAAGACAAGAGGGCCACGGCTCCTGTCGTGTTCTGCTCCTCTGTTACCCTCCTAGGCATGTTTGGGAATTCCTCAGACAGTCCTCCCCGTCACCTTCCTCTGCCCCAGGCACAGAGAGAGGAGTCCCCGGTGAATCCCTTCCATCCCACTCACTGTAGGAATTTCTGGATGAGCTCGTCCTGTGTCAACAGCTCCTCGGGGGGTGGCACGGCTGGCATGGTGAACTGGTGCTGCACTGGGCTCTCCTGGGAGAGCTGGAAGGAGGCCTGGCAGGTGAAGATTGGCTTTCCATGCTGGATGGCCTTTACAGAGCGAACGGAGAAACTCTTCCCTGTACGGGTCCGCTCCACCTCGTACAGCACCGGCACCTTGGGGTCCCCTGGGACAGCAAAGGGATGTTCTGCCATGGCGCACCATACACAGYGACCTGTCCCGCAGGGGCCGAGCCCGGCAGTGCCACCCGCACCCCGGGCCGGGATGACGGTTCCTGYTCATGCCCGCAGGGTTCCCCAGCCTCCAGCCACTGCTGCGWCMYTCCCGAGCCCCTCAYCCCGTCCCCGCYGCCCGGTGCCCCGGGCGCACCTGCTCGCACGAAGTAGCAGTGCAGGGAGTGCACCTGCTCKTCACGGCTCACGGAGCGGGCGGCCGCCACCAGCGCCTGCCCCACGATCTGCCCGCCGAAGAGGCGCTGTGTGGCGGGCACCCAGTGGTGCCGGCCCCTGCACACGAGGAGAAGGCGGCGGTGAGGGTGGCGGCGGAGGGGAAGGCGGCCCGGTCCCGCCGCCCCGCCGCCAACGCGCACCTGAAGAGGTCAACCTCCAGCCGCTCCAAGTTCAGCACGCTGGTGATCAGCACGCTGCGCAAGTCCCCGGGCGGTGGCGGCTCGGATCCCKGCCCGCCGGCGCCGCCCGGAGTCCCCATCACCTCCGCGASCCGGCACCGGCGCCGCGACCCGACCCGCACGGCGGACCAGGAAACACCGCCCACCCGCGGGGCGCGGACCGCCATCTGATTGGACTGGAGAGCCGTCAATCACCTCTAAGCTGTCAGAATTCTCTAGGCTGGTTGGTTCGCCACCTGTCAATCCGGAGAACACGGCGCTGATTGGCCAGCATCAGGGTGTGGGCGGTGCCCGGCTGGTTTAACGGGGGCGGCGGGCTGGGCTTGGCCCGGTCCTGAGGGCGCGGAGGCGGCGGCTGGGCCGGGRATCTCGGGAGCGTTCCGCCGCGTCCACCCCTCGCCATGGAGCTGGGCGCCCGCTTCCTCGCCTACAAGTGCTGCCTCTACAGRCTACGGAACCGCGTTCCGGTGAGCAGTCACAACCGGCAGCACGGCAGCGCTGTCCGCCAGGACTCAGGTAAGGCCCGCCCGCCGCGTCCGGCTCCGCCTGCAGCTGGCAGCAGCCCCTGTGGCAGGGCCGTGTGCCCGGCGTTCCGGTGTAGCACCGCCAGGCCCTGCGGAGCCGCCGCTTGGGCCCAGCCCGTGTCACAGGCCCTATCCCGTACCTGGCTTTGATAACCGGGCTGGTCCCGGTAGTGTGATGCCCCGGTATCGGGGTGCCACACATTTGCCGTGTCCATTGCACAGCTCCTGCCTTTTTCAGCTCATGAAGACACCAAGCATCGGCATCTGTCAGCATTCTCCAGCTGTCCTTACCTCACTGCAGTGGAAAGGTGATATCAGGTTTCCCTCTGGGASCACTTGATTCCACAGCCTTCACTTCTCCAAGTGGGGGTAGTGATGYCGTTTCCTTTCCATCTTAGCTGGTGGATCTGCTTGTGTGCACAAAGGCTGCAAGGTCACTCACTAGTTACACAACTGCTACCTTTGCCCTTTTAAAGTATAACTTGCCTTYTTAAAATACAATTTAACCTTCTTCCTTGAAGCTTTTCTTGTCATGTTCTAGCCTGCTCCTCCAGAGTTGCAGAACCGTGTGGTTTAGGGATTAAGACACAAACACATGGGTATCAAATTCTCRTAATTGTCTTTGCTGTTTGTGGAAAGCAGAAGCAGAGGGAGCAAAGCTGGGGTTGCTCTGTTCTGCCTGGTCATGGCAGTTGTAACTCTCTGTCCCTTTGTTTCTCCTTTGTCTGAGCTTTCTCACCTCAGACCTCAGCAGCCAGCCTGTGTATCTGAGCTGCACGTGTGCGTTTGTGTGGCCACTAATTAAATACGGAGTTGCACACATGGAAAGGCAAAACGAAATGCTGGCATCCTGCACCACCTTTGTTTCCCCTATGAATACTTTCTCAACGTTTTCAGGTTCGTGCAGGTGAAGTCTGGATGTGGCTAAATCCAAAAATATAGTGAGAAGAGAAAAAAGAAGCAGCCCAGCTTGTGCCCAGCCTATTCTGTGCTGCAGTACAAGGAGGACATAGACCAGCTCGTGATCTGTGAGGTGAACAACCACCATGCCCACACATGCACTTGTTCCACAAGACAGCACTGTGACAAAGGCACATTGGAAGTGGCAGATGGGGGACACTGAAGTGGTGCCACAGTGGGCGAGGGCTCACACATGGTCATGGGACAACYGGTGGATGGAGTGCCTGCTCCAAGCACAGCTCCCACACTCCCTGAGGCACTGGAGGAGAGCACCTCAGTGCTTGTCAGGGTGGCCAAGGTGATGGAAACTTTCTTGTGGGTGGACTAGAGTTTGCTGGCCTCCATCAGTGCAGAGAATGCCTGTGAACAGGACGGGTTCAGCTTCCAGACCACTGCAATGAAGCGCTTCTTTGAGCAGTTCCTGAGAGCCTCCTCCTACAGTGGGCGCTGGGCAAGGGAGGACACGTCCTCTACACTTTTCCTCGTGAAGAGCAAGGAGTGCGGGTGGAGAGTGTTTGAGACCTTGAGAGCACTTGTTGCTGATGGATGACACGGAGAGAGGGTCCAGTCGCTGGGCCTCGAGCTGTGCAGAGCGATGGGGAGCAGCTGAAGGACGAAGGAGGGGGACACAGCCAGGCAGAAGCCGATGCCCGCACACCCCTCTGGGTAGCGGCCACACCGAGGGGCGCTCCCGGTGTCCCCGGCCCGGTGCGATGCACAGCGGCCGCTGCGGGCGGCGCCCGAGCGCTCCAATCCGCCGCGGCGGGCGGTGCCGAGTGCCGGGTGCCGTCACACCGGGGTGGTGACACACCGCGCGGTGATAGGCGGCGAACCGGGACCGGGACCAGGGTGTGCCGCGATGTCCCCGCCGGTAGCGGCAGCACGGAGGGCCCGCGCTGCCGGCCCAAGCCGCGCTGACCCGCGCCTTCCCGGCGGTGCGTTCCACTCCTGCAAGTGGCTGCAGCAGCTGAACCTGGAGCACCAACCACATTGAGTGCCTGGCCGTGACCGCCTCCAGGAAGGACCCACCGGCGGGAGCTGCTTGGCGTCCTGAGGAACTTCATCACACCGCACTTGCTGCCTCAGCTCCACCTTCACTGGCTGCTCGAGCATGGCATCACGGACATACGCAGGGAGGGCAGCAGGGGTGAGAGCAGTGACTGCTTCGAGGAGCTGGAGGTTGCCATCCAGGGGTTAAACCAGATTTTCAGTGCTGGGGTCTCTCTGGAGAGCTGCATCACTGCCTTGGCCCAGCACTACAAAGAGTGTGTTTCTGAAACCCTTCCTGATGCTGTGACATGCTCTGCTCCCCAGCCTGATCACTGTGCTGCTCAGGCAGCTCCCCAAAKTCTGCTGTCTTCACACTTGCCTCTTGCTGCTCTGATATGCCAGGGTAACACATCCCAGAGTCTGGCCAGGCTTCCCCCACTGTGACAGTAGCTCAGCAGAAGCAGCAGCCCATGTCAGCCTCTCTTGCAGCTATTGAGAGTCTTGTGATTGTTCTCCAGAGTCCACCAGCAGCTCCCCAGCACCCTGAGGCCCTTCAGTGTCAGCCTCAAACACCTCATGCTTTTCTCCAGAGTGAGCCCACAAGCTCTCAGTCCCTGTTAGATCCTGTCTCCTGTGGTGAAACTGGAGGTTACAGAAACCTCAGGGGATCACAGCAAGGATGATATTATCCAGAGGACTGAAGAAGCATCAGGCAGTCTTCGAGCCACATTCCCACAGAGGCTGCTGCCAGGCTCTGCCTGAGAGAGTTGCACTGGTTCAGAAGGCCATGCAGCTGATTGGCACCAGGTAAGACACTCTAAGTGTACAGATCCTGGAAGATGCTCACCCTGTAGTGCCAGCTACACTTCCCACTTGAACCACGTTTTCCAGCTGCCCTGCTGGCACATCTTGGCCATGCTGAATTCATACAGCAAGTACTTGCAGAGGGAGCTGCTCAGCAGACCATGGGAGAGGGGATGTGATACCCGTCAGGCTAGGTGAGACCATGCTGATGGCCTCTTGCAGATCCTAAAGAACTAGAACAAGTCTTTGGATAAATCCCTGGTGGTGTCCTTCCTCACGGCAGAGATTAGCTGGCTGCCCACCACCCTAGTGAGGAGTTTGCACAGAGGCACAGGACTCTCTGGGAGCTGGCTGACAGCTGGATCGGGCCCTACATCAAGGTGAAGCTCTAGCACCGAGTGGGAGCTGAGCTGGGTGCTTCCACTGTGTCCTGTGTTCCACCCTCATTCCCCTCAGCCTGTCATTTTGTCAGCGTGGAAGGGGCAGTTTGGGTCCTTTATCTGTTGAGCAAGCAGCACCTCTTGCACAGGGCAACAGAGGAACTGGATTGGAAGCTCCTGATCCCACAGGAAAAGTTAACAGCCACTGACCTGGCTAACAGCTGTGGCTGGGAGCCAGCTCTGGGTGGTGCAATGTGGGAGGTGCTGGTATCAGAATCAAAGAATCTGCTGAGTTGGAAGGGACCCATCAGGATCAAGTCCAACTCCCAGTCCTGTGCAGGACATCACAAAAATCGCACCATGTGCCTGACAGCATTGTCCAAACACTTYCTGAACTCAGACAGGCTTGGTGCCATGACCACTGTCCTGGGGAGCCTGTTCCAGTGCCCAACCACCCTTAAGGTGAAAAACCCTTAGTCTCTCCTGACAGCCTTATACCATTTCCTCGAGTTTTGTCACTGGTCACAAGAGTGAAGAGATCAGTACCTTCCCCTCATGAGGATGCTGGAGACCACAATGAGGTCTTTCCTCAGTCTCCTCCAGGCCAAACAGACCAAATTACCTCCACTGTTCCTCTCCAGTCCCACCGCCATCCTCATGGCTTCCTTTGAACTCTCTGTGATAGCTCAATGTCTTTTTTATATTGTTGTGCCAAAAGTGCCCCCAGGACTCAAGATGAGGCTGCACGAGTGCAGAGCAGAGCAGGACAATCCCCTCCTTTGCTGGCAGTGCTGTGCCAATGCTGACGCACCCTGGGACATGGTTGACCCTCCTGGCTGCCAGGGCACTGCTGACTCATATTCAACTTGCCATGGACTAGAACCCCCAACTCCCTTTCTGTGGTGCTGGTCTCCAGCTTCTTGTTCCCCACTCTATGCATACGACCAGGGTTGCCCTGTACCAGGTGGAGAATCTGCCAGTTGCTCTTGTTAAATTTCATKYRGYTGGTGATTGCTCATCTCTCTGATTTGTCAAGGTCTCTCAGCACAGCCTCTCTGCCCACAATGGAGTTGACAGCACCTCCCAATTTAGTGTTCTCAGCTCTAAATATTCGTATATTACTTATGATTGCTTTGAGTCCTGTGCCCAAGTCGTTAATGAAGATGTTGAAGAGAATTGRGCCTSGGACARARCCCTATGGAACKCCACTAATGACTGGACACCAACCTGATGTCACTCCATTCACTCTAACTCTTTGTGCCCAACCTGTGARCCAGTTKCTCCCCCATTGTGTRAGAAGGTTATTCAGCTGCAAGCTAGACACTTTGTCAGATACTATCAAAAACTATGCTGAAGCCCAAAAATAYTACATCTACTGGCTTTCCTCCATCAGCTAGGTGGGTTACCCTGTTATAGAAGGAAACTGTGTTTGATAAGCAGAACTTTACTCTCATGAAGCCATGCTGGCTGTGATCAGTGACTGTGTTCTCCTGTAAGTGTTTTTCAATACCTCCCAGAATTATCTTTTCTGTCATTTTACTAGGCACTGAAGTGAGACTGACAGGCTGGTAGTTTCCAGGGTTCTCCTTCTTGCCCTTCTTTGAAATCAGGACAACATTCCCCAGCTTCCAGTCATGTGGGACCTCTTCAGATTCCCAAGAATCCTCTTCAGATTCCCAAGAATCTCAAAAAATCACTGAGAGAGGCTTTGTGATGACATCAGCCAGTCCTTGAGATTTCTCAAATTAATCCCATAAGGCCCCATAGATTTGTAGGGATCTGGGTGTAATAACAAATGTAATGACAAAACTATTTCATCTGTGGCCATCACCCGCAGGTCCTTGCAGCATCCAGCTATGAGGTGTTGTGCAACAGAGCCAATAAATCACACTTATGCTGTTTGGGAGCCGAGTCTGTGCCTGTTCCAGCCGCAGCCACCCCTCCCTGCCCAGGGAGCAGGGCATGGGGGGTCAGACTGGGCTTTGGGCAGTGCTCCTTGGTGGTTGTGTCTCACCGTGGTGCCCCAGGTGACAGGAGGTGGCAGCTCCGGAGCGTGGCAATCCCACTGTGCTGCAGCCCACTMTAAAGCAGGGGTGTTGTTTGTGTGGTTGCAGCAGCTGCTCTCAATTTCTCAAGGAAGAGGAACCCGCCCCCTCAGTGTGCGGGGGTCACTGCGGGGAGGATAACACTGCAGGGAGGTGGGGGAGCAAAGGCTTCAAGCAAGGGTGGGGGAGGGAAAACGGCCCGGAGAGTGAACGCCCTGGTCCGTGGGCGCTGCTCTGGAGTGGGCGAGTTCCTCAGCCCCATGGCAGCCAGATGAGCTCCAGCCCCAGCAGTTCCCAGCCTGTTGTTGGGACAGAGCAGGGAAYGTCAGAGATCTCGCTCCATTGCTGTGGTTTGGTCACTGTCCATGTTTTCCCCGTTTAGCAATTCCTTTATTAACACTTTGGTGTTGATGGAGTTGGCCGTGGCTGCGGGCTGGGGATTTCCTTTGAATAAGGGTTTTGTAACATGATCTGATACTATCGAGTCTCTGACTAAATATAGCATCATGTTTCTTTAAAACACYTTTGTCTAAGCTTGGAGCTGTTTGTTTCCCCTTTAGCCACGCTACAGGAAAAGGCTTGGAAGGCTCTGCCARCCCCTTTACCATTTTTCTGGCACTTGTGGGCACCCCTCTGATATTTTGAGACCTCTGCCCCCCAGAGCGTTCCTCTGCACAGCTCCCAGCCTGCCTACCCTCTAGGCTGGCACAGGCACTGCTGGATGAGCCAGCGTATGAAGGGTTTGGCTGAGGGCACGGAGCTGAGGGCACGGAGCTCCAAGTTAGGATGGCTGGGCCCTGYGCTAGGTCACTGTGACTGGCTCTGTGGCCACGGACACGTGCCCAAGCAACGGCTGCTGCCAGTGCTGCTCACTGGGTGCTCCAGCATCTGACTCGTCCCCCTTCAAGCCGAACACACAGGAAATAACTCATCGTTCTCAGGGTAAACATCTTTCCCAACAGTGAAACTGCCTGGCYGGGATGAGCGTCTGGCTGTAATTTACCTCCACGTGAGTGCTGTGCTGTGCAGTGCCCTCCCACGCTCCGCCCCAGTRCCCGCTCTGATCCACCCAGACAATCCCAGCGTAATTCCAGGGCCGGGAACAGGTCCTGACCCTCGCAGGGCTGTGGCCTGTKCTCCCTTCCTCACTAGTGTGGGAACTGCTCCCATGAGGGGTTGCTAAAGCACAGGGGACCCCAGCCCCCAAAGCCTCCTTTGACAGACTCTTGTCTGGAAGCAYTTTATTGCTGTCTCTGACCAATATCACCCCCTCTGCCCACGCTTTGGACATGCCACACTATCAATGTGGGGAAAATCCCAACCCCACTTGGCCCTGCTCTCAGGTTAGCCCTTCAGCAGCAGGTGCTGGGCTGAGGGGGCAGGGAGGGGCATGGAGCGTGCTGGGCAGCCGTCGCTGGGGGCTGTTGATGTGGGGTGCAGCCCAGCAGCACMCTCAATACCTCACTCATGTTGGCAGAAGCTCTTGAGCAGCGGGGGCAGGTCCAGGACATCGATGGCCAGGCGRTGCACAATGTGTTTCTGGATAACCAGCCGGCACAGCGTCTGCAGGGAAGGAACTGGAAGAGAACAGAGAGAGTAGCTGAGCTGGGCAAGTCGACAGTGAGGCTGAACACAGAGGGGTAGAGGAACTGGAGAGCTCCTTGGAGGCACTCTAGTTAAAGGCAGAGGTTTGTTTGTTCAGTGAGTTTGTTCTGTGGCATCGTCCTGCCCTGGGCTCAAACTGGCTGTGCGGGGGCTGGTGCCAGGTTGCTCTAGCAGGGCTGGAAGCGCAAGGGCCCCGGCAGCAAAGCTCTCCCCGTTATCAGGAAGAAGGTTGGGAGACAGTTACRTGCCCAAGCTGTGCATGATTGTGGCTGATTTACATGTCTTTGGTGGCTGTCAAGCAGCTCTCCAGGGTTTCATATGCTCATGCTGTGCTTTGTTTCCATCCCACTCCCTTGGTCTGCTTGCACTGGCCCCAGCACCAGGCTGCCAGGTGGGYGCCTGCAGGCTGGGGCTGCACTGCCTGCAGACAGTGCCCATTGTGCCTTTGGAGCAGACCACCATCAGAACTGTCCCCTTGGGCACCTTCACAGAATCTGCCTGGTTCCTGCTCCTGTGACACAAACCTCTTAAGACTCCACTTCCCAGAGCCCCAGATAGCTCAGCCATGTGGATACTGTCCGCTGCAGTCAGTACGCTCCTCAGGTGTTAAACCAGGGAGAATACCAGGTTCCAAGCTTGGGAACCAAGCTGCTTGGTTCCAAGCAGCAACTTGGGTTCCAAGCTGCTCTTGACACCAGCATGTGAAGCAGTATCTCCCAGTACTGGGGGCAACCATTATTCTGTCTGTAGCCCTTCTGGCTCTGTCTCACCTGATCCATCTCCTGATTTTTCCAGCGTGGTATTAATTAGCACTTAYTAGCCTGGTCCCTCCCAGCAAGCCAAGTGACGCAGGATAATGCCTGGGCTCTGATGGCATCACAGGGTGTCTGCCCAGGGGACACCGTGTCTRGGGCATGTGGCAGGTGTGTGGGCACAGCATGGTGTGCTGTGGTGGGCGTAGGGGGTGTTTTGATGCCAGGACAGGATGTTCGTTGGCTCTGGCTGCCACGTGCTTAGGCAAGGCTGGGCACAGCGAGGACTCACAACCATGAGGCAGCCCCAGACACCCACCCCCATCACTCTACTTGGGAGGGCTGGTCAAGGGGACTCTGTGCATGACTGCTGCTGCTGCTGCTGGGCGTCACTACCCTGGCCCCAGCAAAGCCCCCATGGCAGAGCTTTCAGCAGACACTGCCCATYAGTGAAACTGCAGATCTCACCTGTGCTCCACAAGGACCAGAGATTTTCCTGTGCCCTCTTACCCCGTGTCCCTCTGCCCAGTGGCACACTCCAACATTCCCACTGTTGGGGACTATAGGATGATCCCACCAGAGCTCCCCCACTCCTGGCCCACACAGCAGGGAGGGGCACAGGTACCTACAGCCATAATCCACCGGGATGACCCGGACACTCTTGGTGGAGGCAAAGACGTCAATGACAGCATAGAGCGGGTGGGTGACGGGCAGGCCCCTTGCGCTCGGCCCCATGTCCTCGCCGTTGATGACGATGTGCATGTCAGCGGTGCCATCGGGCTGCGGGGTGTACAGCACGCCGATGCGGCTGCGCCGGGCGGTCGCGGGCAGCACGTTCATCTTGTACAGGTCGTCCAGGATGTGGCTGTAGCGTCCAGGCCGGCTGCGCCCCACCAGCGTGTCACGGGGGATCCGTACCCGCTCGATCAGCAGGAAGGGCTCCCAGGGGCGCCGCCGTGCCTGCACGTCCTCCCCCTCCACCACCACACGGTTGTGGTTCCGGGTGATAGCAAACACCCAGGTGTCCCCCAGGTTGACCAGGTCCGGCAGCGAGTACTCAGGCACTACCTCCAGGCTCTGGGGGTCATGGGCAGTCAGGCCCACACGCAGGTGCCCGCACCAGCCCAGCTCCTTCTCCTCAATCTCCACCAGGAAGATCTGCCCGGGTGCCAGAGGCTCCTGGCTGAAGCAGAGCCCGTTGGCGAAGCTCTCCACCCGTGTGGCTTGTGTCCGTGAGGCATCTAGGCGGATGTTGGTGCCATGGATGTGGTGGAAGCGTGCAGCAAGCCGGCACCGGGCAGCCATAGCTGCCGGAGCTATTTTTAACTGTCCCTGTCACAGCTGCTGTGAGGTGGTGACAGCCCCGCTGGGAGGGACAGCCAGAGGGCTCAGGGGGGGTCCTACTGCCACGGGGGAGGTTGGGGAGGCCTTATGGCTGCTGGGCATAACCGGSCCTAAACCAGACCCACAGACACTTCACACTGGACTGCCCAGCCCTACTACCTGGGCCGGGTTGCCTGGCTGTGCCCATGCTGTCCGGCAGTGCCTAGCAGTGCCTGGTGAAGCCTGGCTTTACCCAGCAGTGCTGGGTAGCACYCAGCTGTGTCCGGTGGTGTCTGGCAGTGCCCGGCGGTACTCAGCAGTACCGGCTACACCCACAAGTGCCCGGTGCCCAGCTGTAGCCAGTGGTGTCCGGTAGTGCCCACCGGCGCACTGCGCCCCCCGCCAGCTGCCCCCGGTGCTCCGCCGATGTCCCTTCCCTTGTCCTGGTTCTGGTCCCGGTTCCGGACCCGGTCCCGGTCCGGGGCTGCTCCACGTGCGCGGGCGGGGCCGGGGCGGGGCCAGCCGCCCCCCGGGCTCTGATTGGCCGCGGTCGGGCCCCGCCCCGCTCACGTGAGCGCTTCAGGTCATATGGGCGCGTGTCATGTGCCCGCCGTGATCGCCGCCTGCGAGCGCCGCGCCGGGAGCGGCCGCGGTCAGCGGGACCGGGGGGGCAGCGGGACCGGGGGGGCACCGGGACGGGAGCGGGAGGGGACGGGATGGAGGGATCGGGACCGGCGCCAGTGCCAGGGGAGCCAACTGGGCCGGGCCGGGGGTCAGCTCTGCGCGGGGGTCCGGGCCGGGGCAGGCGGGCCGGGGCGCTCGCGGGACGCTGCCGCGGCCGTTCCTGGCCCACAGTGCCYTGACCGTCCCTTCCGTCCACCGCAGATGGGGCCGCTGTTCCTGTCGTCGCTGCTGCTGCTGCTGGGGTTGGCCCGGGCCGCCCCCCCGGACCATGAGGTGACGTACCTGCCCGGGCTGTCCAAGCAGCCCTCCTTCCGCCACTTCTCGGGCTACCTCTGCGCCGGGCCGGGCAAATACCTGCATTACTGGTACGTGGGACTGCGCCCGGTGCTGGGAGGATTCGCTGGCACCGGGCACTCACGGCTGTATRTCCACAGGTTCGTGGAGGCCCAGAGCAATCCCCAGGGCAGCCCCCTGGTTCTGTGGCTGAACGGGGGCCCCGGCTGCAGCTCCATGGAGGGCTTCCTCAAGGAGCATGGTCCATTCCTGGTTAGTAGTCACTGCTATCCCGTGGCTCAAGGAGCCAGGGGAGGACCGGCTGCGTGGCACGTGTCATCCTGCTGTGTCCTGCCTAGCTTTGCCGATCAGTCACCACCTTCTTCCTCAGATCCAACCCGATGGGGTCACACTGAAGTACAATGAGTAYGCGTGGAACAAGGTACAGACACAGGCGCTGCTTTTCTTTGTGGCTGCAAGATGGGGTGGCCCTGAGCCACTTCCTCCTGACCCTTCCATTACTCCCCTCCCACCCAACACACCCTCCTCTCAAGTCTGCTGTTGAGCAGCAAAGGAATGTGGCCACCCCAGCACAGCCCTGGGGCGGGCCAGACTCCTGTRGGTGCTGCCATGGGCAAGGCAAGCRGCCCTTGGCCTCACTGAGCCAGAGGAGGGTCTTCCCTGATCACCGGCTCCTCTGCTGTCCTCACAGATTGCCAACATCCTGTACCTGGAATCTCCTGCTGGTGTTGGCTTCTCATACTCTGATGACAAGAAGTACGGCACAAATGACACGGAGGCGAGTGACTGGGGTCCAGGGAGAGTCCTGCTCCCCTGCCTGCCCCCTCCTGGGCGTGGGGTACAGCCTTACCACCTGACGGTTCCACCTCCTCCCTGCAGGTTGCTCACAACAACTACTTGGCACTGAAGGACTTCCTGCGGCTCTTCCCCGAGTACTCCAAGAACGATCTCTTCCTCACAGGGGAGAGTTATGGAGGGATCTACATTCCCACGCTGGCAGAGTGGGTGATGCAGGACCCCAGCCTTAACCTGAAGGTGGGCAGCTTGTCTCTGCCGTGCAGGGGAGCAGAGGTCTTGACACAGCCTCACTGGGRCCCTCAAGCAGTGCCAGGGTGGGGACTGGCCGGGATGTAGGGCATGCCTGGCCCTGCAGCCTTTCATCTCTTCCTGGGGTKCTGGCAGCAGCTGCTGGTGGACGTGTCTGTCCCTGCTGCCGGGGGAGTGTCCTCAGGCACCCTCGACCCTCCCTGTTCCCTCCGCAGAGTAAACAGTTTCACATCTGCTTCCTGCCTGCGGCTGCTGTGCTGTGACTGCCCTGCGGGGAGCTGGAACACAACAGGGTTGTTTTCTTCTTGCCTTGCAGGGAATCGCTGTGGGAAACGGCCTCTCATCTTACGAGATCAATGACAACTCCCTGGTTTACTTTGCCTATTACCACGGGCTGCTGGGGACTGAGTAAGAACAGGGGGAATGCTGGATGCACCGTCCCTGCGCAAGCAGGACGGCTGCATGGCTGGGGCTGTCTTGTTCAGTGGGGTTGKGACAAAGGTAGTACCTAGCCTGCCCTGGGCTGGCATCTGGGCTGTGGAGGTGGCCCCTTGTCTCAGGCAGCTCCCATGGATGCATTTCTTTGTGGGGTATRGAGGGCACAGGGCCAAGCCTTGTGCCCTGTCACTGGGCAGAGAGCTGCAGGGCAGCTATCATGTCTGTGTTGGCACCTGATCCAAATCTCTGTCCACAGGCTGTGGAAGGACCTGCAGGCCTTTTGCTGCTCCCAGGGCAAGTGCAACTTCCATGACAACTCCAACCTGAACTGCACGCTYAAGGTGAGGGTAGCTAGAGCCCCTGCATGTGTGCTGAGCAGCACTCGCCTGGCTCYGGGTGGACCCACAGTTCCATGAGGGTCCTGCTGAGTCCCACACCTTTCTTGCGGCTCCTTGCAGATGGGGGAAATGATTCAGATTGTAGAAGAATCTGGCCTCAATATCTACAATCTCTATGCCCCGTGTGATGGAGGTGTCCCTGGGAGCATGAGGTGAGAGTGGCCCTGAGGAAAASGGATCAACAGGCACCAGCTCACTTTGGTCACACTTGCACAGARTGACACGGGGGGCTGGGCAGGGGGCCCCTCTGGGACAGATGGATGGTGTCTGGCTGCTGCCRAGGACTCCCCCATGGAGGGCCCTGAACCCTTATTCCCCAGGGTTTTTAGTCTGTCCTCATACTCGTTCTGGCTGCAGGTATGAGGGTGATTACCTCATCACACATGACCTGGGYAACTCCTTCATCCGGATGCCACTGAGGTTCTCCTGGCGGCAGGTGAGCTGAGGTGCCCATGCTGCTGAGCTGTSAGCAACCTCTGTCTGGCCAGTCGTGCTGCTGTGGGCAGGAGRGGAGAAAGCAGCTGCTCCATGGGGCAGATGCTGCTATGACAGTGACTCTCCCAACTCACCCAGAACCTGTTCCGGATGCCAGTAGCCCGAAAGAAGGTCCGGATGGACCCGCCCTGCACCAACTCCACAGCCCCCAGCATGTATCTGAACTCCCCGGAGGTGCGGAAGGCTCTGCACATCTCTCCCGAAGCCTCGGAGTGGCAGGTGTGCAGGTGAGCAAGGTGTGGGTGGGCAGGGACTGCTCTGAGCAGGAGCAGACATGACACCAGTGCTCCCTCCACAGCTTTGACGTGAACCGCAGCTACAAGCGCCTGTACATGCAGATGAACGAGCAGTACCTCAAGCTGCTCGGAACCACGGTGCGTGCAGGGAAGCCCACAGTCCCTGGGAGTGTCTCTGCCAGCCCAGGCTCGTASCGGGCTGGGGCTGCTTCCCTGCCAACGGCTCACTCTCTGCTCCACAGAAATACCGGATCCTAGTGTACAATGGGGACGTTGACATGGCTTGCAACTTTCTCGGGGATGAGTGGTTTGTGGATTCCTTGTGCCAGAAGGTAAATGGGCAGGGCCCAGGCCAGACTGGTCACTGGCTCCAGGCTGTGTGCTGTGACTGGCCGTGACAGGAGTGTGGGCAGGGCCAGCCCCAGGCRCTGAAGGCACTGCTGCTACTCCCAGGTGCAGGTGGCTCGCCGGCCCTGGCTCTACACTGAAAACGGTGAGAACCAGATTGGTGGCTTCGTGAAGGAATTCACCAACATCGCTTTCCTTACTGTCAAGGTAGGGCTGAGGGCTCTGGGGGCCAGGCCTGGGGCTGTTGTGGGGTGTGTTGGTGGGGTGGTGCCGGCTGGCCTGCAACAGCACCACAGCCACACTGACCACCRCTGCCCCTTTCCTACAGGGAGCTGGCCACATGGTGCCCACAGACCGGCCGCTCGCTGCCTTCACCATGTTCTGCCGCTTCATTAAGAACCAGCCTTACTAAGATCTGCAGAGGCAGTGCCCAGCGCTCTGGCCGCCCTCATCACCCCACCTGCCCTCACCGCCGGCACCTTGCACAGCCCATCCTCGCTGCTGCTCGGCTACACCATGGACCTGTCACGCCTGCAGCCTTCCCCCCGTCAGGACGGGGCTGCCTGCCATGGGTGGAGGGTGGCATGGGCTGGGAGACCGAGTCCTGGGGACTCTGTCCTTGCTGGGAGAGGTGTTGTGCGCCTGCTGCAGCCGCCTCCCTTGTGGCTTCCTCTCTTGCCTCCTATCTGTCTGCAGTGGCAGCTGCTTCCCTCCTAGGCAGGGAGCAATCCCCAGCTCTTCTGCTCGGCCCTACATGCACACAGCGTGGGCAGGCTTTGAGGAGCAGCAGCAGGTGGGCCTTGCTCACCTCTACCTTGTTCCTACCACCTCTGCTGCCATTGAAGGAGACTTAGCACCACTACCACAACAATCGCACTGCCCGGGCACTCAGTGCTTCAGGAACTCGCAATAAACTCTGACCAAGGTGGTTCTGCTCCTCCTCGCACCTCTGTGCCAGCCCCTGCTTCGCTTTCCTTTGGTCCCTGAGAAGCACCAGTGAGTGCCGACACCCTATGCCAAGGAGCCCTGGGCCCTGTGAGCTATGCCCCCTCTGCAGGGRTCCCTTGCATCCTGGAAACGAGTGRYCCACCTAAGCAGCAGCAGTACAGTCACTCTGAGCCTTCTGGCACTGCACTAAGCTGCATCTGTTCCCAAGGACCAGAGCTGGGCAGCAGCATCAGCTGCCTTCTTTTGCATCTCCCACCCTGTACCACAGTATGGACATGTCCTCCAAGCAACGAGGCCATGTGGTAGGAGTCAGGTGGTTTATTAGTGTAATGAGCAGGGGTGCAGCAGGGGTTCCCAGAGCACCCTCTCCACCTTGCTGCGCCCCACCAGGGTGTGGACACCCTGATAATGTGCTGGTGGTACCAGGGAAGCTGCTTCCTACCTACAGTCTATGGGTCCAGCCCAGGATCTGCCCTCAGTCCAGGGAGAAGAGCTAGAATGAGCCAGGCTCCAGGCTGGGCTCTGCGGGCTGGGAGCTGGGRTAGGCAGCAACAGTGGGCACTGGGCGGTATTTCTCAATCACCTCCCGCAGCCCCTTGGAGAAGTGAAGATCAGCTCCCACCGTGAGGAATCCCTGCAGAGGAGAGGGTTAATGTGAGGCTAGGGGTGAAAATGCCCTTCCCAGCAGGACATGGAGGCACAGCC